GTGGACGAGGAGGTGGAGGTGGAGGTGGACCTCTGAGGTGAGGTGGAGGTGGAGGTGGAGGTGGAGGTGGAGGTGGAGGTGGAGGTGAGGTGGAGGTAGGTGGAGGTGGAGGTGGAGGTGGAGGTGGAGGTGGAGGTGGAGGTGGAGGTGGAGGTGGAGGTGGAGGTGGAGGTGGAGGTGGAGGTGGAGGTGGAGGTGGAGTGGAGTGGAGTGGAGTGGAGTGTGGAGTGTGGAGTGTGGAGTGTGGAGTGTGGAGTGTGGAGTGTGGAGTGTGGAGTGTGGAGTGTGGAGTGTGGAGTGTGGAGTGTGGAGTGTGGTGTGGAGTGTGGAGTGTGGAGTGTGGAGTGTGGAGTGTGGAGTGTGGAGTGTGGAGTGTGGAGTGTGGAGTGTGGAGTGTGTGTGGAGTGTGGAAGTGTGAGTGGAGTGTGGAGTGTGGAGTGTGGAGTGTGGAGTGTGGAGTGTGGAGTGTGGAGTGTGGAGTGTGGAGTGTGGAGTGTGGAGTGTGGAGTGTGGAGTGGAGTGGAGTGGAGTGGAGTGGAGTGGAGTGGAGTGGAGTGGAGTGGAGTGGAGTGGAGTGGAGTAGAGTGGCATGGAGTGGCGTGGCGTGGCGTGGCTTGGGAGTGGAGTGGAGAGGAGTGTAGTGGAGAGTGGTGGAGTGGAAAGGAGAGTGGAGTGGAGTGGAGAGCGGAGTAGAGTGGAGAGAGTGGAGTGAAGTGAAGTGAGTGGAGTGGGGAGTGGGGAGTGGGGAGTGGGGAGTGGGGAGTGGGGAGTGGGGAGTGGGGAGTGGGGAGTGGGGAGTGGGGAGTGGGGAGTGGGGAGTGGGGAGTGGGGAGTGGGGAGTGGGGAGTGGGGAGTGGGGAGTGGGGAGTGGGGAGGGGAGTGGGGAGTGGGGAGTGAGTGGGGTGAAGTGGATTGGAGTGGAGTGGAGTGAGTGGAGTGTGGAGTGTGGAGTTGGAGTGGAGTGGAGTGGAGTGTGGAGTGGAGTGAGTGGAGAGTGGAGTGAGTGGAGTGAGTGTGAGTGGAGTGGAGTGAGTGAGTGGAGTGGAGTGGAGTGGAGTGGAGTGGAGTGGAGTGGAGTGGAGTGGAGTGGAGTGGAGTGGAGTGGAGTGGAGTGGAGTGGAGTGGAGTGGAGTGGAGTGGAGTGGAGTGGAGTGGAGTGGAGTGGAGTGGAGTGGAGTGGAGTGGAGTGGAGTGGAGTGGAGTGGAGTGGAGTGGAGTGGAGTGGAGTGGAGTGGAGTGGAGTGGAGTGGAGTGGAGTGGAGTGGAGTGGAGAGGAGTGGAGTGGAGTGGAGTGGAGTGGAGTGGAGTGGAGTGGAGTGGAGTGGAGTGGAGTGGAGTGGAGTGGAGTGGAGTGGAGTGGAGTGGAGTGGAGTGGAGTGGAGTGGAGTGGAGTGGAGTGGAGTGGAGTGGAGTGGAGTGGAATGGAGTGAGTGGAGCGGAGCGGAGCGGAGCGGAGAAGTGGAGGGATGAGTGGAGTTAGTAGAGTGAGTGGAGCGAGTGGAGTGAGTGGAGTGAGCCGATGCTTTCATCAACTGCTGGCGCATCTTCACAGACGGCGCCTGCTTCCCACCAGGAAATGTTGCCAAGAGCAAAGAAATCCAGACGGGCAACAGCTCGATCTCATGCTGCGCGCTAGAAAATATTGCATCCAACGCCAGGAGCTTCTCCAAACAGCTTGACAATAAATTGACCAGAAACTAAAACCCTTTTGCAGGCAGTGTGCTCTGCTTCAAATATCGACAACGGTCCACTACAGCTGCCTGCAGGCAACTACATCTTAAAGCAGCTCTTGGACACTGAAGCGGGCCACGGAAGGGCTACTTGGTATGGCAGAGTCGGGTCACTCAAACATCGCTGATGGCGCGAGCAGATAAGAATTTGACGAAATTTTGGGAAGCAAGGTAGCCATTTGCATGTCGATTGAAACTTTTCCTGAAGTGAGGTGAGTGAGGCGCGCGCCTGTCACACAAATTGAGCCCACGGACCGCGCGCGACAGCATCCAGTCCCTTTCGACAACTGCCACACGTTGCCCTGCCACACAAACACACACCCAGTGACACCCAGATGCGCAAAAAACTGCGCCTGAAACGAAATCTCTGCACCATCGCCAAAGTGCTTCGCCTGTCACGCAAATTGAGCCCCCGGCAGAGCGCTCGACAACATCCAGTTTCTTTAGACAGCTGTCAAAGTGATGAGCGATTGACAGTCAGTGAGAGTGAGTGAGAGCGAGTGAGTGCGGAAGTGAGTTGCGAGTGTGTGTGTGTGTGAGTGAGTGAGTGAGTGAGTGAGTGAGTGGGTGAGTGTGCGTGTGTGACAGAGTGAATGTAAGAAAATGCGTGAGTGTGACAGAGTGAGTGTGAATGTGAGCGAGTGAGTGAGTGAGTGAGTGTGAGTGAGAGCGAGTGAGTGCAGAAGTGAGTTGTGAGTGTGTGTGTGTGTGTGAGTGAGTGAGTGAGTGAGTGAGTGAGTGAGTGAGTGAGTGAGTGAGTGAGTGAGTGAGTGAGTGGGTGGGTGGGTGAGTGAGTGAGCAAGAAAATAAAGGACTAACCCCACATACCCAGCTTTTTTTCCGTCGCGCAGATGGCACTATGCCCCTTGTTTCCACTGCAGGCTTTTTGCTTTGTCGCGCGACAACCCGTCTATTTGTTCAATCACGGATCACTTGGCACTGCTCAGCGGTGAGTGGTCAAGTGGTCGAGTTCTGAAATCTGACGTCGAGCTCTGAATTACAGTGTGGCAATACCACGAGTACTGGAGCACCACTCTTCCTGGAATTGCAGTGAAGCCCGCTCTTCCTGGAAGCGCTTTTGATAGCAGCAGTGATTTGCTAGCCAAGAGGAGGCTGCTCGATCGCCCTGCGCGACCAACATGGGACCGACTGTATGACAAGTGACTTGAACGCAGTCTGCGAAGCACTGACAATATCTGCTCTACGTTTCAGAAAGCACTCATATCATGATGCTCACATTCACACACATTGCCATAAACAGGCAGTGGTTGATTCAGTTGTTTGTCTCAGTGAAACGCTCTCACGCCTGCCTTATTCTTTGTGCATCAACTTCTCCTGCCAGGCTAACATTCAAGTTCATTTTTGTTTTGATCAATAACATGTCTTGCGCCATGAAAGCTTTCAAAGTGTAGCATGGATCGGGCGCAGCTTTGATTTTTGATCTTGCCGCTGAAACAGAAGCCTTCTCAAATCGAGTCATGCTTCTGCACAGGTCGTTGCCACTTCGAATCGAATCGCGCAACGTGGCAAGGCCTTTGCAAAATGCGTCAGCCGTGTGGCTGGCCTGTTTGGGCAAACTTCACAAATCACACCCTAGCAAGAGTCATGCCAGGCTGAACTCTTTTTGGATACACTGGGCATTGCCTCCCTCAAGACTTTCACTCTTTTGTATGGCGTCCATTCACCCTCGAAGTTCAGAACAGATCCACCTCTCTGCCTCACGCAAGTGTGTTCATAGAAGGTCTTCACGGCTTACAGAGCTGCTCTTCATGCCACAAAACGGTCCATGCGTCGACTGCATCGGCTTGCATCAGCACCACTTGGCGCGTCTCTTCGGAGCGCGCCCGCAAAATCCAATTCACAGCAGAAGCAGGTGCGGAAGGGAGAGTCTGTCCTGTCTTCGCGCTGAGATAACAAGCAGTCCACTGGAGCGCTTAACACGCATGGCTGGTGTCCTGCTGCAATGCTTCCTCGTCTGGCAGCAGAATGTCGTTGAAGGCAACCAAAGCTCGGACCGACGTGGCTTGAAGTTCTTCAAGGGAAAGCAAGCCCAAATCAGAATCCACCTGCAAGAAACGCAGCGGGGCAACCGGGCAGCCTGTTCCCAAAGAGCAGCGTGGAAGCTCCAGCATGTATATAGGCGCTCAAGTCCGAGCACCCAGTCTGGAAAGACAAGAACAACCTCGAGTAACAGCACTCGAGCTCCAAGATCTGCTGGTATTCGTTTTCCTTGAAGGTCACTTTGCAGGCCCACAAGCCAGCGCGGACAGTCGTGCAAAGCGACTCGAAACTGCGGCGTGTCTTGCAGTGGGTCTGCCAGCATATGGCCCTGCTGGCGCATGGCGGAATCAATGTGTTCATGATAGAGCATCATGCTGCACTGACAATCACTGTCCGCGAACAGGGCGCGCACCGCGATGCGCTTCACCTCCGGCGCTTCTGGTTCGACAGGAGAAGAAAAAGAAAACAAACCTCCGGCCTGACATGGAAGAGCTTTCTTGCATTTGCCGAAGGAGGCAAGCACCCACTCATCCGATCCAAACGAGGGGCCCGTCTTCTATAGCCTTTGAGCACACAAGGCTGCTTTCATGAAAATGCGCTGAAAAGCCTGAAGCAGCACAATGAAGAGTGTTCGATATCGCACACCAAAGGCCCTGCTGAATTTGGCTCGCTCGCATGTCTCACTGCAGTTTAGCTAAGGCAGGCGCCTCAAGAGGTTGTCCTGCTGGTCGAGCACGCCTGGAAATTGGAAACGTGTGGGGGGCCTAAGTCCTCTGAATAAAAGTGGAAGCTGAAAGCAAAACTCGAAGCCGCGATGAGCACCCGCAACGATTTTGCTGCACAAAGGCGGCAAACAAATGACTCTAGCCCACTTGACGATCATGTAGCGCCCCAGTCGCAGCGGCAAGCGTTGCCCGTGCGTCAGCTCAGTGATCGCCATGCCTAACTTTCCCACGGCCCGACAGACACGTGTCAAGCCTGCTGTAAAGTCAGCAGAAAAAGAACTGCTAAGGCAAGCGCCGCACCAGAGAGATATTTTTTCGCAAGGGCTCGCAGCGTCACCAAGGCAAGCGCTCCCAAGAGTACTCCAACTGTTAGAGAAGCGAACTTGAAAACTGAGGCCGCCAACTTGTAGTCAACGCAATGTACACAAACACACGCAGCAAATGACGCATCAATGTTTACCCCTTGTCAAAAACTTGCTAAGAACATGTTATATGCTCGAGAAAGCCAACCTTGCGCACATGTCGCGTAGTCCGAGTGGGCTGCCTAGAGACTCAGGTAGTGCTTCTTGTCTTCGGAGCTCATGCCTCTCACGCGCTTCCTCTGCGTTCTGCCTGTTACGTGCGCCATTTCATCTGCAGCCGCGGCAGCGCAGAAGGGCGCCATTCTAGCAAGGCTCTCTCCAACAACACGCTCCTAAAGTCGAGGCCAAAAGCTGCAGCAGTGCGAGCATCATGTCGCAAAAACCACCATGTGCTTCAGACAGAAAAGCTGCGGCAACAGCTGATGCATACATAGAAGAAGAAGACGCCTCAGGCATCTGAGGGGCCGACAGCATCAAAGCTTGCTTGTAGCTCTCAGTCAGCTGCGCAAGGCCTGAGCTTCCATGCGTTGACATGTTTGCCACAAGCAAGCATTTATAACAATTCACCATGCACGGCATCTGAGCATGACTGTTGCACGACTGCTGAAAATGAAGTACTGGCGCAGACTTTCAGCACGTGAAGGGCCGACAATCGCAAAGCGGGCCATCGATTTTCATCACGAACGTCTTGAGCTGTGATGTCAGAGCGAACGCCAGCCAGTGCGCACGCACAAGACAAACAGCAAAATTGTCCAGAGGGTCTGGCCCCCCCCCCCAAGCCGAAGTCTGATACACCCCAAAACCCCGAAACCCAAACTCACCCCCCAAAGAAAAAAACAGAAACCAAGAAAAAACACAACAACCACCATAGGATGCTTTTGGAAAAATAGATGGGATTCCCTGGTAAATGGGGCCCGAAAACCGTCTAACCCATCTAAGCCAGTGGAACCCATCTATGTTTAACCAAACTAATCGATCAAAAGGACGCCTACTGTGGATGGACAAAATCCTGTTCCACTTTGAAACCATTGTTTGTGGGTATATACAGGGGAGTCATCATTCCAGGGCTTCTTGGGCGGTGCGAAGTGGATTTCGTCCATCCACAGTATGACAACAACGCCCCCCCCCCCCTTGAAGGGCTTGCTGACCAGCCTGCAGGGCTCCGCGTGCGGCGGTTCAGGCGCTTCACCAACTCCTCGCGCCTGGCGATGCAATTCGAAGCGGCGGATCTGCTTCTACCTGTTCATTTTACTTGGGGTACTTGGTGCTTTACCTTTCGAGTGTGTTCCGCCATCTTCGTGTTCATTTTCCGAGCGTGCTTCCTCCGAGCTTTGTGGGGGGGGTGGGTTGGGGGGGGGGGGGGGCGATTTGGCTTTATTTGAGGTGCTTCAGCTGGGCTGTTGACGTTTACCATTCTCCAAGTGGGCTTGCGAGTTGTGTGCCACAAGGAAATCTGGACAAGAAGGAAAGGCAAGTCGTCTTTGATATCTTCAAAGCTTTTCCCCTCAAAAAAATGCCACTCTTGCAGGGTTGTTCCCAAAGACGAGGGAAAACCGGAAGCCACGCCCCAAAATCACCTTCCATTACCTGTACCGCGTCTCCGCCCGTATGCCCAAAGAAAAGTGATTGGATTTGGAGCCCGTCCTTTTCGGGCCAGTCAACCTTGACACCAGCTACCTCAGCACAGATCGCCATAGGTCGGTCCTTGTTTCGGGGTACCCGCTTTTTGGATGGGTCTAAAGGAAACCAAAAAAGAAACCCCCAAAAAACAAAAAGAACAACCAACCAGTTTGGGGGGGGGGGGGTGAGTCCCCCAAAAAAAGACACACCCACATTTCTACCAGGGCCAAACCGCATGTGGGACGTCTCCCCAATCCTGCAATGGTCTGCATTCGGTTCAAAGAAAGCCCCACGCTTCAGCAAGCAGATCATAGCATGGACCATGGCACACAAAGAATTGGGCCCTGTGCATTAAATACCCAAAAATATTAAAAATGGCTGATTTTCTGTTGGTTTCCCTTTCAAAGCAACACATACCAACAGAAGGTCTCCCAAACTCGTATGCAGCGAGGAGGGCAACATGTGGTGCCATCCAAGGTGCCATGGTCGAAGATCCCTTTTCCTTTAACCCCAAGAAAACAATGTAATACCAACATAATAACATCCGGAAAAAACAAGTGGAGATCCAAATCAACAACCCTGAACTTGCAGTTCCCTTAAGCTGGCAGGCAGCGGGGAGGGCAAGAGATGAGAAGAGATCCAAGTTGAAAGCCAAGGTCCAAATGAAGATACGCACGGTTACAAGCAAGGGCGACCAAGGCTTAAAAAAAAACAGCTTGGACCCAGGACTCATCCAGGACGGGAAAAAAAACAAGGTTGAAACCATGACACCGGGAAAAAAAAAAGGGGAAACAAGCAAGATGTCAAGGCATAAAAAAGATGCAAAGTGTGCTTCTTTCTTGTTAAGGCCCCAGTTCTAGCTGAAGAATAGATGGCCCTAGAACGAACATAACCCCCATATAAACCAGCGGAGCCCATCCATTTCTTTCCCAAAACAGGACACCTACGCTCGCCGCGAGCGCTGGCGCGCGCGCGAGCGGGCCTCTTGACCAGTGTGTTCCAGTCCGCCACCGGCAGGAAGGCCTGACAGATCCATCGGACGGACGCGCTTGAAACCAGCTGGCCATGGGTTACGGCTGTGTCTGTTGTAAGCGAATCGGAGCGCTAGCCCCAAATTGGGGTTCCCCGTTTTGTATCCCGAATCAAAACCAAACACACAGTACCAACCTGGGGGGGGGGGGGAAACAACAAAAAACGCCTAAACAAAAGCATGGTATACAAAGGAATCGGTCCACACATTAGTTGGTGTCCTTTGACTTCCGTTTGGTATCCAACCAAAACGAGGCCTTTGTTCCCATTTTGAGATACCCCTGCACAGAGCCATTCCCTCCTCCCCAAGCCTTGTTTCCATCCTGGAAACATCACCGGCAGCCGCAATCTTGGACGCCCCTCGTGAGGGAGGAAAAGCGCAAGTACCCTGCAGGTGGCCACCTTTTCCATCGACCCTCTTCCGCAGGGTCCAAATGTGGGCGCGAAGGTGAAAGCACGGGCAACGTGAACTTGGCCCTGTCACCCCCAAAACGAGGGCTTCTTCGGTCTCCCTTCAAAAACCAACACAAACAACAACAAAAACGGGCACCCTCGAAAAACGAATATCGAGCCACCCAGTTTTCGTCTGCCCTACAGCTTTGGAAGGAGACCTCATTGGCAAAGGGTCCCTCCACAGAGCTGCAATGATGTGAGCGTGAAATTGGGGGGGGGATTCCTGTGGCTAGTAGAGCCCTCATTAAAATCCAAAGCTAACAGGTGTGTGATATTTCAGGCTGCCACTTGTTTGACAGGCCAACCTATTGGAAATCCCCCGCCAAATCAAAGGCTTCCCGTTGGGATTGCCCTCCCTCTCACTGACATGGCACCGAAAAAGGGGTGGGTCCCTTCAAGACAATCTTCGAGGTGCTTTACCTCTCCACAAGTGCCATGTTGCTGGGAGAGCTGGGCAGACCCCCAAAGATCCGGGCGCTTTCCTTTGGGTTTTCCCAAATGAACACCGCTCCCCAAAAAATCAAACCCCGAGCCACACCCAAAAAATGCGAGCGAGAGCGAGCGAGCCGGCGCCTGGTGCACCTGACCCGCTGACGGCTCCACCTCCAGCAGGTTCACCTCAAGCTTCCAGCCCAAGATGGGGCCGCAGAAACCAAGATGCAAACCGGACTGTCCCTTTGGTCCCCTGCTAAGAGTCTCCAACTTTTAGTGGTTTGGTAAAGAAAAGCGGTAAAAACGACCAAAACCAAAATCTTTGAGTGGTTTAGTAAAGGAAAAAAAACATTAAACCAAAAAGAAACAAACAAACTTTAAGGTGGTTGCGTGGTTTCCACCCAAAAACCAAAAACGACCCTCCAGGAGCAGGGCTGGGAACCACCTGGAACCCAAAACCGGTTTGGGGCGCCCGTCTTGGTACGGGAACCAAGCACGCCAAAAAGCCGCGCCTGGAAGGCACGAGACCAAAACAGGAGGCGTGTTTGGGGTGGGGAGGGGGGGGAGGCGTTTTGGGGGGGTTTGTGACTTGCCGCAAAACGTGTGGGCTTGGGCAAAGCGAACAAATCTGTGGGCCATGGCTCCTGAGAGAATCAAGCAACTTCCCCCTTTTTCCCGTAAAGAGCCAAGAAAGCGAAAGGCGGCCGATGGCTCATCACCTTCCTCCCAGGTTCGGATTTGGGACAAGCCCAATTTCACCAACATGGAAGTGCGCGGACCCCTTTGGAAACCTACGCCCAAGAAGTGACCCGTGCACCACAAAGGAGAAACTATGGTTGAAACCATTTGTTGGTATTTACAGAGGAATCATCAGAAACCAGGTTCTCCGAGGTGGTGCGGTTGATGGATTTCGCAACCATCCACTGTATGTCATCCAAACTGCCCATAGACAACGGCCCGGCGGTGCCGGACCGGCTATTCTTTGCCGTGCCCCAGGCGGTGGCATCGGCCAAGTAGTCCAGGACCCCATCCTTCTCGCTCAGCGTGGCCTGATCCCGCGCTTGGGAACAGCCAATCTTTTTGAATCCAGGCTACCAAAACCAAGCCAAACCAACCAACCAACCCACTACCGGGGGGGAGGGGGGGGGCTGCAAAGACCTGTGCATATATGGGCGTGTGCCACTTTCGCTAAATGGCTCCGGTGTTCCTTTTGGTTTGCCTTGTTCAACAAACACAAATCAGCTACCCTGCAAAAAGGACACACACACACACGTTTGCCTTGTTCAACAAACACAAATCAGCTACCCTGCAAAAGGACACACACACACACACGTTTGCCTTGTTCAACAAACACAAATCAGCTACCCTGCAAAAAGGACACACACACACACAACAAAGGGTCGAACAAAAAACGAGTCACCCCCGGAAATATCCGCCCAAAACAGTCTATACCCGATTTCCCCAACGGCTCAGGAAAGTACAGCTTAGCGAAGATTGGGTCAAAAGCTACACCACTGGACCGCGCCCAAACGAAACGGAAGCCCCCAAACCGGGAATTGGACCCCGGCTGGAGCGGGGTGTCCTGTTGGGAGTTTCCTTCCTCCAATTTGCTTACGTCTTAGGGATTTGAGGGGCAATGCACCATGGCTGGTCTTTGGTGTGACCAAATCGCCATTTAGACCTTGCGGTTTGCCAAGCTCGTCTTTGGTGTGACCTGAGCAGCCTAGACCTTTTGGTTTCATCCATCAAACCTTGCAAAAGGTTGGACATGGTTGGACCTTTTGCTCTGGGGCTGGGTCTGTCGTTTTTGGGGTGGGTGCCACTTCTTTGTGGTCTTAACGGGAAGCCGAGATGGGAAGCCCCATGTTTTGTGTGTTTTCTTTCTTTTGCTGCTGGGGGGGGGGGGGGGCACGTGTACAGGGGGTGCCCCTCAAAAAAGAAACGACACCGCCGCACTCAGACTCGCTCCCCCAGGTCCCGACCCATCGCCTCCTGGGGCGCCGTGGGGATCGCCTGGCGCGGCGAGCCGTTTGATTGAACCGGTGGCAGGAGAAGCGGGGAGAGGCGCTGGGATTTTGGGGTAGGAGCACTAAACTACTGGTGTTGAAAAAAGAAACAGCTGACTTCTCTGTGTTTGCCTTGAAAGGGGACAAGGAATTAGCTCTAACAAGTTAACCACCGACTGGCGCTTGAGGGTTCTTTACAAGTAGCAATACAAACTCCTCCTCGGCCCCAAAGGCTTCCCAGTAGCGCTGTAGCCTTCCAAACTGGGTCCAGTAAAGTGTCCTCAAACCCGAGATACCGGTACATGGTGTGTTTTTGTCGGGGTTCTCCACCCCCAGTGAGCCATTTTGAGATCCTTTCAATATATCGCAAGGGGCCCGCGAGCATGGGGTGCAAGAATGGCAAAGGGACCGAAACTTCCATCCTTGGGGTACGGGCTCGGAGCGCAAGTGATTTTCCCACTTGCCACAAGCAGGCTTGCAAAAACAACATCTAATATCAAAAAGAGAAAGGCAAGTACAGTCAGCTTACCAAGCATTCCTGGATGGAGTCTCATAATTGTATCAGTGCCCTGGCAATTTCAAAGGCTTGTTTCAAGGGGAAGTTTTAAAGGGAAAACCCCCAGTTTAGGGCTCCAAGTCCTATTTGGGAGGTTTTCGACTGGTGGATGTCCTCTTTCTCTCAAGACAACACCCCCATTTTGAGCCGCCGATTTTCAGCCGCCCACTCGCTGAAAGCCGAAAGCCCGAAAGGCTGGGTCCCCAAAGGCTCGCTAAGGCTTGGCCAGCAAGTGAAAGGGGTTGAAACGTTCGTTGGACGACACGTCCTTTGCAAGGCTGGACACCACCTTCTTGTTTTTCTTGTTTTTTTTGGTCGGGTTCCCCGGTTTTGACGCAGACCCCGCGGGAAAAAATCAGGTTGCGTGCAATTGATACGCGATATCCAAGCCACCGTGAGCAGCTAAATCGCCGGGCTGCTTGCCTAACTCTGTCCCCTTAGACCTGGTTTCACAGCCGATCGCCTTTCTTGTTTGCCCAGACCGCCAAGGGTATGGAGAAAAAGTACAACTCGCCGCCCCTGTTTGGCGTCATGGATGTTTCACGGACCCCGTTCAAAGCCAGTTGATAGGAAGGAGAAAGAATGGGCAAAAGCAACCCAGAGGTCTGGGATGAACCATTGGAAAACCCAAGAGGAACGTCCTCGCAAAAAAAAAATGCAACCAAAGGGTGAAACGGGAACCAACAGGTTTGAAACCCACAAGAAATCTTCTTTAAGTCCGTGAAAAAAAGACTCGGACACCCCTGAGTGGGGTTGTGCAAAAATGTTCGAGCAACCCCCAAAACACCCAGAGAGGAATCTGTTGGGAGACCTCCTTGTGGATTCCATATTCATGCTGATTTCGGGTTACTCCGATGTTGGTTCCCCTGAAAGGAAATGATATCTACTTTTGGGGGGTTCCGAAGTCAACATTTACCTCCATGTGCGTTGCTGTCCCCTGGAAAAATGAAGAAATATGTCCAGTAGTGACTGATTCCCTTTACAACCAGCAGGGGAAACACGTTCTTTGGTGTTGTTCTTCTGTTTTCTTAAAACAAAAAATATAGCCAACAGGGGCGCTTGGTTGACGTTGGAAGGGGAGCAACAACTTAAAGCTTAGCAGCTAAGTGGGGATTTCAACCACTGAACCACAATAAAATGTAAAAAGCATTATTTCCCAACAACAACCATGAAACGGGGGGGGGGGGGGAATACGTTCTTTGGTTTTGTTCTTTTGTTTTGTTTAAACCAAAAAAAACAGGGGATAATACATATATATATATGGGTATGGATCAAAATTAAACCACCAGGAAACCACAGGTTTTAGTAATTATTCCCATTTGCCAGGGTCCCATTTTGGATACCTATTTTTTTGACCTACGCCCATATGCATACATATATCTATAATATATATATGTATATATATTGTATGTATGTATGTATGTATGTATGTATGTATGTATGTATGTATGTATGTATGTATGTATGTATGTATGTATGTATGTATGTATGTATGTATGTATGTATGTATGTATGTATGTATGTATGTATGTATGTATGTATGTATGTATGTATGTATGTATGTATGTATGTATGTATGTATGTATGTATGTATGTATGTATGTATGTATGTATGTATGTATGTATGTATGTATGTATGTATGTATGTATGTAATGTATGTATGTATGTATGTATGTATGTATGTATGTATGTATGTATGTATGTATGTATGTATGTATGTATGTATGTATGTATGTATGTATGTATGTATGTATGTATGTATGTATGTATGTATGTATGTATGTGTATGTATGTATGTATGTATGTATGTATGTATGTATGTATGTATGTATGTATGTATGTATGTATGTATGTATGTATGTATGTATGTATGTATGTATGTATGTATGTATGTATGTATGTATGTATGTATGTATGTATGTATGTATGTATGTATGTATGTATGTATGTATGTATGTATGTATGTATGTATGTATGTATGTAGGTAGGTAGGTAGGTAGGTAGGTAGGTAGGTAGGTAGGTAGGTATATATGTATGTATGTATGTATGTATGTATGTATGTATGTAGGTAGGTAGGTATGTATGTATGTATGTATGTATATACACACGTTTCAGCAAATGGAGTCGAGTGTGGGGAGTTCCCAACTTCCAAGTTCCCCTGGCGTCCCTTCCTGGAAGAGGTCCCAGGCAATGTCAGCCACCGAGGAGTTGTACAGCACTGGCACCTCCTGAATCGATCGACCCAAACGAATGCACCCGAAGGAATCGCCCCCCCCCCCCCCGTGTTTTGCGGTTTTTGGCATCGGCCCGCCGTGGTTTGTTGGTTTTTTGGGGTGGTTTCAGGGGGGAAACCAAGAGCAGAACCGAACTCTTTGGGCGGTTTTGAGGGAAAACCAAAAGAACCAAACTTTTGGGGCGGTTTTCAGGGGAAGCCCGTGCTCAAATGTTGGCGGTGCCCGAAAAAAAGGCTCATGCCAACTTTAAAGGAATATCCATTTTTGGGTGAAGAAAGGACCTTCTTTTTGGGTTCTGTGTTCTAGTTGGATGTGCCCAGTTGGCCTTTCGTTTATACTCGTTTGGCCCCTGTTGTAGAAGAGGTGGGGGTTGGGTCCAAAAAACAGCTTCCAAGCCGTTCTCCACAATAAATCTGGACGTGGTTGCAGGAGATACCCCAAAAGTGGGGCGGCTGCTGAGACCTGACGTGCAACTACTGCCTCAGAGTCTAAGGATTGCTGCATGGCCCACTGTGTGGCACCCCTGCGAAATGACCATAGACCACTGCAAACGATTCGGGGCAAAAACGTGGCTGATGTTTACCCATCCAATGAAAGCCAATTGTCTTTTTGGCCGTACCTCGATGCAAAGCCAGCCAGTTGGCTGCTACCCCAAGTGGCTGATGCATTCCAACAAAGGCCCCTCTCTTTCTCAGGCCCTTTCGGTACAATTGAACAGGGGAACCACGGCAGTCGGTCCAATGGAGGTTCGATCAACATGTCCGTCAGATGGGGGAGAAGCTTCTAAATGTCGACCACAAAAAGGATCAAAGCCAAACTCTAAGTTTCCCATGTCGGTGGCAAGGCCGCGAAACAGCTTGGCCCTGCCCCCCCCCAAAAAAAAAAGGAGAAAAGAACAAAGAACGGTGCTTGGCCAGTACGGAGACGTCGGATTTGTTTTGCCGTCGCTCGAGCTGAGACATTCAGGCACGGATGCCAACACCGGAAGGGAACTGCACTTGGGAGCTCACCGATTCGACGAGTAGCGCAAGCTTGGGCCCAAAAACTCCCGTAAGGGGCACCTGAGCCACAATCAAAACCCAGGTAGATGAAGGTCAGTCAGGGGCAGTCCCAGCCAGAAATAGTTTCGGATATCCGCCTTCTCAATTCTTGAAGCATGGTTCTGGGTACACCATTTTTATACCGGGTTTTGCTTATGACTCAGATGACGCTCCAAATTTCGGGATGGACCCCTAACACAAAGGACACTCGAGGTAGACCATTTTAATACCGGGTTTTGATTGTCACTCGCCTGGTTTGCCCAGGCCACTGTGCAAAGCATCCGCAAAAAATCCCGAGTTTCCCAGCACGCCGCTTCGCCGCCTTAAAAAGCAACCTGGAGTCTCCATGACCCTTGAAAAATGGGGAGATTACCCATTAAGGGGTGATGACCCCTTTTCCTAGGGGTCATGGAGACTCTAGGAAGATCCTCAGTTCCAAAGGGCTCATTGCTTGATTGCGCCGACTTCAGCCAAGCGAACACTGAGCTAAGTGATACCTTTGTGTATGCATGGAATGACCGGAATCCACATTACCCAAAGGACAAGTTTCACCTAAGCAATACTGGCCCAGAACTTCTACATCATCTGGTCAAGCATTTCTTGTTTTTACCTGGCCCACATGTATCCTCTAAGGGATGCACAACCACGCCACAGCCGCGATATCACCCACGAATCCCCTCGAATCCCCCTCGAATCCGGCTCCTTGGAGCGCATCTCCCACTGGCCAGAGGGGCTCGGCTTCGAAACTTGTTTCCATACTGTGGATGGTTGCGAAATCCATCATTCGCACCACCGTTCAGAAACCCTGGTTTCTGATTCGACCCCCCTGCAAATGATGACCCCCCAACGTAAATACCAACAAACAATGGTCTCGACCATGGCTTCAAAGTGGTGCAGGATTTTGTCCATCCACAGTAGAAACCGGCAGGGCGTTTCTAGAGGGAAGTTGGCCCTTGGCATCCAAGAAGCCATGAGGCAAGCCACCCGGCCGAACATTTTCTCGGAGAATGCCCTCCAAAATTGCTGGCAAACTGAAACGCATTTCTGATGTCCACCAAAGGGTCCTTCAATTTCCCAGTGAAACCCTTGAAACCATGGTCGAAACCATTGTTTGTTGGATCATTCCAGGGTTTCTGAGCGGTGGTGCGGTCGATGGATTTTGCGAAACCATCCACAGTATCTGCGGGTTCAATTAAAGGAGTCTCCTGCAGCTGCTGTCCTAGATGGTTTTAACAACTACACCTCAAAGGAGGTCACTTGTTTAATTGTAGAATTCATCTCCCGGAGCTTGTGTCCTAGATGGTTTAAACTAGACCCCAAAAGGCAAGGTCCGTTCCCCCTTTAAACACCCGCCCACCATATGCGGAGCCCGGCAGAAAGAAAAGCTGAAACAAATCTAGAAGGTTATTTAAACATTAACTCTTTCCAACATGTTTCAAGGGGCTGAGCCAACCCTGGGTCGCCGGCTCATCATCTCGAGCCATCCGCCCTCTCTTTTCACTCGGCACCAACTCGGTGCCGAAAGCATAGGAGGGTCCTTCCGTTGGTGTCCAAAGAAAGCGATCCCCAACGTCCGCCCTCTGCGGGCAAACGGCGCTTGAAATCACCCCAGGCCTGCAGTTCATCCAGCAAGGCCTGACGGATTCACAAACCCAAGAACCTCCGTTTTGAGGCCTCGGAAGCGCGCGAGTCGAACGAAACTCGCATGAAATAGGTTCCCAAGGAAAAGACCTGCAAAACAAAGTGAGCTCGGTTTACCCCCGCTGGCCATGAAATAGACATGGGTTGACTCAAAATGGCCATCAGGTATTGCCAGCTATACAAGACAAAATGGGCTTGTCTCAAAGGATTGGGACCCAACCCACAAACAGCATCTCGCCTTTTCCACGATTAGGTTTGTTTTTCATTGAGGGTACCGTTTTTGGGTTCCTTTTGAAGGGAACATGTTTGGGGGTCCCCTATTTGAATACACACCCAGGTGGGGGTCCCAAAGTTGACCTCGCCCAAAAATTCTCGATCAATCCATGTTACCTCGGCTTCTCTCCCAAAAACATCCGGAAGGTAACGCAAGCTAGCTCCTCCAGTAGAGAGGTTAGAACTATTTTGGTAGGGGACCCCTCCCCCAAAAAAAGGGTAAGGGCACTACTGGGAAACCCAAGAGAACAGGAAGATGTGGAGTTGGCGCCCTTGCTGTATCTTTGGGGACATGCTTCTGTTCCACCCCATTGATCCTTGTGAAGCATCATGATTCACCACCCCATGGGAAACTGCCCATGAATGAAAGGAACCATCATCATGGATGCAAGTGGTCGCAAGACCTTTGGCAGGTCGCACTTGCCAGGTGCATTGTTTTTCTATCTTTCTAAACGAATAGGAGCATACTGTTCAAGTGGCTATGCCCAAAGTTCTAAGCCCAAACCCGCTATAGCCACGCTTAGCCTCCGACAACATGAACCTGATGTTTCGGGGTTCTTGGTTTCGATCATTCTCCTTTCAATTGGAACCCCAGAACGTCAGGTTCCATGCGAAAAGGGTGGACGGTAGAAGGGTATCTTCCTGAGATGATCAGACGCCCAGTGGCCATGGGAAAAAACGGGAACCCTTCTTTTTCTTGCTTCCGCCACATTGCTCAAGACCCCACCCTCCCCTCACATTGGAGTGAGTGGGGCCACCCCGGCAGCCAACCATCAGGCCGTCCCGAAATTTGGTCGAGTTTCAAACCCTCGAAACCCACCGGTGCGACGGGCGACCGGTGGCTTCACCGCCTGCCGCAAGTGCCGCACCTTGGCCCAAACGCTGCCGTAGAGGCAGCCTGGCGCGCGGCGTTTCAGCACGGCGCGTAGAAAGCGCAGATGCGGCCGGGGGGTGTAAAGTGGGTGCAGGGTGGGTGTGTGGGGCGAACAGCGGGTTGAGAGTCGGTCTCTTCCAGTTGCTTAACCCTCTGGAGAAAACTAAAAAAAAAAAAAAAAAAAAAAAAAAAAAAACGATTTCCAGTCGTGAAAACGATTCCCTTTAGATTCAACTGTGGGGGAAAAAATATATATTCCGAAGCAAACCGAAGGTCTGGGGCTTGGAGTTGATTGCGGGCCGGCCAGCGATCTTAGCTCCTCCGCAGCGATCCGCGTCCGGTCGAGCCAACCCAAAACCGCCCCCCGTGGCGTGCCTGTGGGCAGGTCCACACAGCGATGAAGCACCTTTGGGCCATGACATGCAAATTGTCTCCCTTTGAGGCTGTCTGTTTTTTGGCGACTGTGAATATATAGCAGCTGCTTTAGGAAGGACACGGCAAGGGGCTTATGCTGAGGCTGACATGATGGCTGACATGCGACGCCCAGTAGCTTTCTGTTCTTTTTGTCTTTTTGGTGGGAGGGTGTGAGGCTTTGAAGGGAAACAGACAAGTTGAAGCCACGCAGTCTGACTGCGGGTTGGCATTTGTCCCATGAACTTCCAAAGTGGAAGCCCTGAAAAGAGGTTTGGAGTCCCCCTTTTGTAGAAGAGAAGCAACACCTGCCTCCAGGTGTCGAAAAATCTCAGGAACCTGCAGGAAATTAGGGCTTGTGAATTTCTTTTGGCCAGCTTCAAAGATGGCATCTGTGCTCGTAAAGACGTGGCAGAGGAGACCAAGCGATGCAGGCAAAGCTTTGAGGCCTCCAACAGGCTCCACAAGGTTGGGAACCAACGTTGGTTTTTTTGGGGGGGAAGGCATCCTGCTTTGGAAAGCAACCCTTTGCCACAAAGTAAGGGGGAACAAAAGCGGCTTCCTCCTTTGTTGAAGGCATCTTGTTTTAGAAAACCACATTTTGGTGGCACCGTTTCACCATCTGCGCTCCTCTTTCTCGCCTTCCGAAAGTGGGGATCGTGTCAAATCGATCTCAGCATCCGGCTGCGAGGCCGCCGGCAGTGGTGAAGCCGAATCTCGGAAGCGGTGGGTTGGTGAGTTGGGCCCTCGGAGGGTCTGGGGCCCCAGACCCACGTTGAGGAACTATTGTTTTCCTGGAACCCCCCCCCGCCGGTCAGGTTCCATGCTACTTGGTGGGCGGGTAATAAACTTTGCCAGGGTTCCACTGTTGTTTCTCCTTCGGGCATCACCCCTACGGAGGAGAACTCAGCTATGGGCCTATGGGTGATGTGAGAAAACCACAACAAGACCCCTGTCATAGGGTGGGTGGTGCCCTGAAAAGTAAAGCATGCCTCCCCCCCCCCCAATAACCAAAGCCAAAATTCATCTTGCGTCCCATTGAGGCGCCATGCGGCCAAACATGGAACTCCTCATTTTTTGGAAGGTCCACAAAATGGCGGGCACACCAGGGGCAACCAGGGATATCTACAAGACTTTCTTGACAAGAGACAAGGTGACGAAATGTTGTTGCTTGCCCGGAATAACTCGGTTGTCTTCTGCTCCCCTGCTAAAAGCTTAACTTTTAGTGATTTAATACGGAAAACCCCTTAGTGGGCAAAAAGTTCTCAAGTCCTAACATCCCTTGGCAACATGCAACAAAAAGTTTTAGTGAAGACCAACCCTGCGGACTGGATTGGGGTGAGATGGGGTGAGGAAACTGCCTGGAAAGGGCTGGCACCAATTTTCAATCCTCGCCTAGGTTAAGGTGTGCCAACTCCACTGGTGAGCGGATTCCCGCCAAGTCATGCGTGGGGCGCAGGGCGAAAGGCCCTTTGTGCTTTCCCTTCCATACTGGGTTGGTTGCTCACGAAAAGGAGTGCCGACTGGGGGAAAACACATCATGTCATAGTAGCAAGAAACAAATCTTGGCCATTTGCCCTGAAAGCTTTTGGACCTGAGGTGACATTCCCGTTTAGTGGCCCCGGTTAGTACGCGTCAAAAAGGGGGAATCTTAGCTAGAACCACAGATGGTTCCAAAGCATAACATGTAGCGAGCGTTGATTTCAAGCACTTCTTTGTTCACATGTTTTCGCGAGGTGCTGCAGCAAGCGTTTTCTCTGCGCCGACGCTAGTCGTTTGCACAGCGTCTCCGCATATACCGCCGCAGCAGCCGGTGCGCGAGAGCTCGGTGCACGCGATTGCGAGCAGTGCGCAGCGTGCAGGCTTTATCGTGCAGCAAGATACACGAGAGGACAGGCAGAGCAAAATGAAGAACGAGAGCGGATGGCAACAGTACACGGACAGCAGGATGCACGAGAGCACATGCAGAGGAAGAGACACGAGAGCACATGCAGAGCAAGAAGCATGAGAGCGCGTGCAGAGCAAGAAGTGCTAGTGCATGTGCAAAGCAAGTTGCACGAGACAAAGCGCGCAGCAGCAAACTGCACGAGAGCACCCACAGCAAAATCCACGGGAGAACGCGCGCACCAAATTGCGTGAGAACGTGTGCAGCAGATTGCACGAGCCAGCATGCACGAGAAAGCTCGCGTGAGACATCTTGCGCGACAAGCGTGGACTCGAAATTGCACTTAGTCTTTTAAGGCGGCGCACGCGCATCTTGGCCAGGACATCGTCGCAGCGGGACTTTGGTCAAGCTACGAACGATTGTACCGGGAACCCTTCGCAATGCTTCGGGGAAAGTAGTGTTTTTCCTTTCGGTCCCCCGTTTGAACCCAGGAAGAGGTGCCAAAAAAAAGAAACAAACCTCCCATCTTGCTGCCAACAGTTGTGACATCGGGACCCGATCGGCCGCCCAGAGTCTGTCTGGGCCAACACCCCAAAGTGTTCAGCTGTTGGGGAAAAAAGGAAACTCTCACCATCGCCAATACCGAAACCTAGAATGAATGCAACAAACAGAACAAATACAATCAGAAAACAGAGAAAGCAGCGAAGAAACACCAAAGTACTACACAACCACGAAACAACACCAACCAACCAACAAACCAAGCAAACCAAGCAAACCAAGCGAACGAACGAACCAACCAACCAACCAACCAACCAACCAAAACAAGCAAACACACAAACACACATACACGAACACCAACCACCATTTCCCCCCCCAGCAGCCGCCCCGGGCTTTCGGCCGCGCCTGCGCAGCTTCCTCGTGAGCTCCAGCTTCGCGGTGCTCAAGACAAAGGCCAGGTGCCCCGGCCCCAGGCAGGTCACCTGGGTCATCATCAAAACGCGGTAGTAACTTTGGTGGTGCATGTTGCCAAGGGATGTTAGGACTTGAGAACTTTTTGCCCACTAATGGGGGTTTCCGTATTAAACCACTAGAAGTTAAACTTCTAGCAGGGGAGCTGAAAACAACCCAGTTAAGATGGTCGTAATCCCAGAGCCATGCTTCAAGAACTAAGAAGGCGGATATCCGCGCGCTATGGCAAGGGGATTGGCCCTTACTAACCTTCATCTACCCGGGTTTTGATTGTGGCTCACCTAAGATCCTCCCGAAAAACGGGCATGCGCGCCAGGTGGTTTCGTCGTCATGCTTTCTTGGCCCCGTAGGGATCAACTCCCATGAAAAAGAATCGGCCTTGGGACTCCATTTTGTGGCAATTTTTAGGAACATCACGGTGGAAATCCTCCCCAAGTCGTTCATCTGTCTCGCTTTTCCTCTTGGTTTTGCCTTCTGGGTGTGTCTCTTTTTAGGGGGGTTCCCCCTTCCCCCGGCCTTCCTTCCGGAAATTCCTGCAAAACGACACCTTCAGAAGGGTAAGCCTCAAAAGCAGACACTCTTCTTGCTTTCCTGCTTGGGATCCAACTCTCAAGGTTCGTGCTCAACTTCCTCAAGGAAGGATCTACCGAAAGGAAAGCCGGGCGAAGGGGGAAATCCCCTAGAAAGAGACACACCCAGAAGGCAAAACCACGAAAAACCCCCAGACAAATGAACAACTGGGGGGGGGGGATAACCACCATTATGTTCCTAAGGATTGCAATCTGTCTGGGGCATTTAAAACTAACGACCGAAAAAATTGCTGAATTTCCCCCATGGCCGCTGGAGATCTTGGAGAGGTTCTTCAACATACTGTGGATGGCTGCGAAATCCAATAAGCCGCATGAATAGGGAGTCGAATCACTCCAGGACTGCAGGGTTTCTTCAGGGTGCAGGATTTCGGTCAGCAGGACCAGTGACGCGGAGTTTTGGCCCTGGCTCCGGGTATGTCTGTTTTTGAGTTGGTGTGGGAGGGGGTCCTTTTCAAGAGTTCCAGCGGAGGACATGGGTGCCCGTTTCAGGTTGGTTTCAGGGCAAGCCCTAGTAATGGGATCTGCCAAACACTAAAACATCCTCATGGGGTAGTGTGAGGGTAGGGTGCGGGAGGGTGAGGGTAGGGTCATGAAAAGAGCCAACACTCTCATCTCAGAAAACAAGCTAGGGCATAGAGTGTGGCAGGCGCACCTGGCTTAATACTGGTACCCAGATTTTTGCCAAGTTTCCTCGGCTTAAAGCGACCCCCCTGTTTCGGTACCATGATATATGGCAAGCTGTTGTTGAGGAAAAAACAATCCTGGCAAAAGAACAGGGCAACACAAAGCAGGCAAACAGTCTTGGGGGTGAACAAATCCGGGCAAGCATTAGGAGTTGCTTTTTGAAGTGGTACCCAAACCATCCAACTTAAGATACCTTATCTGATTAGTTTGACTGTTTTGGGGTTTCTTTGATGTCCAACTTTTTGGAGGGGTTTCTGAAACTCCCAAGCCTTTACTTTTGAAGGGCGGTTCGCCAAACCTAGTTGTCCCAGCTCAAAGTGTAAAGAAAGGCCTGAGAGCTAGGAAATTCATTTGCAAGTGGTCCTCAAACCAAAATTAAGACAGATTCTGTATTAAAAAAGGGGGAAAAACAAAAAAAACAAGCCCAATCAAGTCCTGGCAATAAGAATTTAGACTAGGCAAAACAAAACCAAGTAACTGGGAATCTGAAAGGAAGTTATGGCAATACTTAATTTAAACTAGGCAACAATAAGAAAAGTAAGCCCGAATCTGAGAGTCTGAGAGTAAATACTAAATTTAGACGACGCAATACCAAACTCAGTTCTGGCAATCCAGCAGGAAGTGCTCGCGATACGAAACTACGTAGTGGCAATACTACAGCAACACTTAAGGCACCCAAGCTCCCAGACCCCTATTCAGGACCCCCGAGCACTGCCCCACATTTAACCAGGTCTAACAACAGCAGTTCCTGATTCTTGCCTTTGGCTTAGCCTTTCTGGCCGAAGTACGCACGGTGCGCTGGCTGTTTGTTCCGCCTCGGTGCAAAGGAGGCCAGAGTCAGCATTGCCAGGTGTTGCGTTTCCTTGAGCCAATCTTGCCGTTGCTTGTTCATGGGTTGTCCCACCCGACCACCGGTAATTTGATCCAACCCTTTCAGCCCTCCCTCGCTCCCTGAGGTCCGGGCCCCTTCCGGATACGCATTCGTGGGCGACAGGCCACCTCTCACCTGTCACACGAGCTTGGAGAATTCAGAGGTTCAGCCCCAGGCCTCCCCTGCCAGAGACACACAAAGAGAAGGCGCCCACTTTGGGTAGCTGAGTTCCAAGGCAAGCCCCCTTGAAGAAGACGAAAAAACGCCAGCACCGTTCAAAGCAAACGAGTTCAATCCCCATGTTTTGCCAGGGCCCTTATGTTGTTCCCACGTGTCAGAACAAACAAGGGTGGGGGTTTGCGCGTTGAGAGGGAACCAACCCGTAGACAAGCCAAAGACCAAAACAGGGCTTGGGGAAAAAAAGCAAACAAACTCCCAAATAACGTGCGATCAACAAAACGTTAGCCGACGCTGTCAGCGACGCCCAGCTTGCCAGGTCCTCGTGAGACTGAGCGCACAGTGAGACTCAACCCACGGCAAGGAACAGTCATCGCTCACCTACAATCCTTGAAGGGCATGTACATGGTCGGCGTATTTGGACCCCGGCTGGTTTCAGGAAAGCATCAACTCCTGTCATTTAGGCATGGCCTTTAACTATGGACCCTTTGGTGGACATCGAAACTCTTGTTTGGGGATTCATGTGACCCGCAAAACCCTGGGCACATACTGCCAAATCTTACAATTCATGCCTTCATGTTCATGTCTTAGTTTCAATTCTCATTTCGCCCTGATCTCGAAATGCAGCATGGAGCAAGGACTTGGTGTCTCACCAGCCTTCGGACAACTGCATTCATGGGAATCCTCACTCACTATCGGGGTTGTGAAAACAAACCGAATGCTGGCTTCCAAGGCTGCCTCCGAAGTGTTCAAGTTAAAGGGGTCCGCCAGGGGGCTCTTCCTTCCGTTCCCTAGGATCGCCACCACTTGATGGCCCACATCTGCAGTGAGTGCCTCGGGATCCTGGATCACCAAGGCCGAAAGCAGTCGGGCCAGGTCTCGTGGAAGTCTTGACTTCAGGAGTAGAGGCCGTAGGCAATGCCATCACCACTCTCTTGGGGGAGTCTTCCATCACCATGTCCCTGAAGAAATCCTTGCTCGGACTGGGGTCCTTACATTATACACCTGAACATTGCCTTGTAAATGGTGGTGTCCCTGAATTTTGGTGTTGAAAAAGCCACATGTTTCAAATCTTTTAAGGAGCCCTGTCGGAGTGACTCCAATTCAACCTGTGGGCTATCCACTGCCTCCGTGGGCGATCCTGGGAGGAAGGGATCACCTGAATGCGAAGGTGAGGACCAAATCCGTGGAGAGAAGCCTGATGCAACAAAAAGGGGTTCCCAAAGACATATAACCCCTTCATATGAAGGGGGCGATTCCCAAGAAATCAAAAGACTAACCCCCTTCTTTTCAGGGGAGATTCCCAAGAAATCCCGGAAGTGGGATATAAATGGTATAAACCCCGGGTGATCCCACAACTTTGGTCTTCCTTTGGGCTCTCCTTCCTCGCGACCCGAAGCCCCGAGGAACGACCGGCCCTTCTCGGCGCACGTTGGCCGCCACCGCGAAGCTGGCCACGGGGCGGAGCCGGCCCTGGCGAGCCGCCGCGGCCGAAGCCACGCGGGTTTGAAGGGAGGGACCGTTGGAGCCCCCAAAACGCCCCGCAAAAGTCGGTTGGCCCAAAAAATCTAAAAATGGGGGGAGGGGGGGAGGGGATGAGGGGTGGGTGGTGGTTTCAATCATAGGGGTTGTGCGAAGTGGTTTGGAGAAAAAGTTGTCTCAAAATGGGTTGGAACTCCCCCAAAACGGGCAGATTGGTATGTGTGAACATAGGGGTTTGGACCCCAAAATGGACTTCGGATTCCCTTTGGTGTCCAGATCAAACCGTCCAAAAAGGGTGCCCTAAAAAAAAACAAAAAATGGGCCAAAAAGGGGGCAAAATACTTATAAGGGTGGTTTGGGGTACCATATATGAGACTAAATGAAGTCGGGACCATGAGAAAAGGCGTCGCGGGGGGCTTCCCCAACAGCAGAGTCGTCTTCCAAAGCCCTCCATGAAAGTCAGGAATCCAGATTGTTGGAGGGAGAAGCTCGGTATTTCCCTTGAGGCTGATACTGTCCACGAAAATTCAGTAACCCTCATGACGGTTTGAAGGGAAACCACAAACACCAACTTCCCGAACCCCATCCAAACGCGTTGTTTTTGTTTTTTGCGGATCCCTTTTTGCATTTGGCTCAAAAGGACACCAAAGGGAAACCGACGCCATGTGTTGTGTGTATATGTGTTTGTTGATTGTTTTGCTTTTGTTTTTGTGTCTGCTTTTGCTTTGGGGGGGGTCCCTAAAAAAGTGTTTTTGTTTTGCTTTTGTGTTTTTTTTGGGGGAAAGGGTCAAAAAAGTGACACTTTTGGGGAGGTACCAAGAAAAGACCCATGCCCCAAACGCCCGCTGTCGCACAGAAATGCCCACGAAATCGCCCTCCAAGGCCTTCTGCAGGGGCTGGACATAGCCCACACACCTGCCGGCCCGGCCAGTGGGCTGTCGGCGGTCGCCCGGCCCTATTGGACCCACCAGGCTGGGCGTTGGTTGGCCGGTGAAAACCGCTTCAAAACTTGCTGTAACAAAACCTGCTTCATTCATCTGACTCCCAAAATGGCCCCACTTTGGTCCAAATCTGTGGTTCGGGGAATTAAAGTTGATGATTCCCACATTTTGTCATATAGAAGAAATGTGCTTTAAACAAGAAGTCGGCTTCATTTATCCGTTGACTAGTTTTTGACAAACGCACCCAAAGAACCGAGATCGCAACAAGGCCCCCCCAAAAGTAAACAGGCGAACCCGCCGACAAGAATGAGCAAAAGCCCAAGCCCCCCCCCCTCCAACCGCGGAAGAAAACCCTCCCCCTCCCCCTCCGCTTCGTTTCACCGTTCGACTTGGAGCCACGCCCCACGGGGTTCTTCTTCTCCAAAACGCCCTCGCAGCGCAATGGCCTGGACAACTCCATCACTTGGGTGGCCCAAAGAAAGGCACGGACTTTAGGGGAACACCAAGGATCCGTTTGGGGGGAATCCCTGTTTATGAGTTCATGTCCACCAACTGGTGAATAAAAAAAAACGACTCGAAATGGCTTTTGGACAGGTCAAGTTGGGGGGAAAAAGTGAAACTTCCGGAGATTGTGGTTTTCATCCGCGGGTGTGCCGATCCCCAAGCCACCAATCCAAATCACCAACTAGAGGTGACCTGACAGGCGCCAATATAAGTCTGTCTTTGTCTTTCCCCCAAATTGGCGTCGGTCCTTCCTTTCACTTTCGCTCTACCACCAAAACACGATGTAACAACTCCAAGAAGAACGGCCAATCTGTTGTTCGGCGCCCGGGAAGCCCCTGGGCCCCGAGTCATACCGCTCAGCAGAGCGTCGGGGACCCGTTTTTGGGGGTGCCCGTTTTTGGGGGCAAGCCGAAGCCATTTTGGAGGGGCCTAAAAAGAGAGACGCCCATATGCTGCACACTCGGGATATCCGGCTACACTTGAGACCATCAGAAGAGCGGATTTCCGCTTTGCTTCCTGGTGACAGTCTGAACTAGAAAATCTGCGTGCCTGTTGATCGTTTCTCCAATTGTGGAGCAGATTGTCGGCACCCAAAAATTAACGTGATTTCGTTAGCAAGCCTTCAAATCAGTTGTTTTGCAGGGTACCCAGCCAAAGCGGCCGCTCGCCCACGATGAAGTTTTTTTTTGAGGGTACCCTTCCTAGGTTGGCTTGAAAGGAAAACCAAAGGAAAAACCGATGCCTTTGGTGTTCTTTCTTTTGGGAAGGGGGGGTCGCCTAGAAAAAGACACACCCAAATCCCGTCAAAAGGGCAGACGGGGAATATCGACGGCGACGGGACTGTGCACCAGGAAAGACTCAAGCGGCGCTACGTGGCAAGTAGCTCACAAACGCACCTTGCGTTTCCACGTGCCAAACAAAAAGGCGTTGGTCTGTGTTTGTGAAACCCTTTTGACCTTGTTGAGGGGAAACCAAGCAAAGCCATCCTTTTTTGGGGAGTCCCTTTGACACATACCAAATTGGAGATACTTATTGCCCCCGGTTCTACCTGATTTACACCCATTTGCTGCAAGGGGCACCATGGGACTTCTACAAACAGCATCCCCCTTCATAGAGCGGGACCAATGAATCTTAGGGGCTGGGAATTTGGATTGTTTGATCGCACCAAAAGCCGAGGACCCAGGCTGGCCCTTCGTGGTGTAGATGGGTTCCATCCACTCCCACTTCAGCAGGTGCCTCAAACGCGGGACGCGCCACGGGACGCGGGCGCCGCAGGCGACGAGAGAAAAAGCCGGCGGCCAGTAAAATCCAAAGTGGCTGTGGGTCAAAAGCCCGTACCCCCAGTGAACATCCCAATCCCCATTAAAATAGGTTCTAAAATGGGTGGTGCACCTACCCCAAAGGGATGCCATTGGTTTTGACCCGCAGCCAAGCAGGATTGAGCAAACTCGCCCCCTCCTCTGAGTCTCTGATTTGCCAAAGTGGGCTGCTGTTCGTCAAAGGTTGCATTTGTTCATTGCTCCGTTAAGCCCAGTGCTTGCGCTCCCAAAGGAACCCTGGTAAGTCTACGAGGTATTCAAAGAATGAAGCCCTGGCCTCAAGTGCCGTAGTGCCAAAACTATCCTTTACGATAGGTGCCAATCAGCCCCCTGGACAAATAAACATATTTCCAGTAGTGATTGATTCCCTTTGAAACCCAAAAGGGAAAATAATAATAAGCCGACAAATATGCTTAAGCAAAGGGATCACATGGTCATGGCGAAGTCATGCCGCGCAGCAAGGACAGCTGGACCCCTTGTTTCTCACCGTTCCCCAATGAGAAGTGATTTTCCCCCCACACGCCCAGCCAATGTCAACTGCGGATTCATCTGGACCACACTAATCAGGAGCGGTCCCCTTTGTCGTGGGGAGTTGATTCATCTTCGGGGAAAAAACCTTCCCTGGGCCTGTATCTTGGTTTGCTACCCTTGGTGTTGTAAGGCCGGAGGCCAGAAGGAAGCCCAGCAAGTGTTTCGCCCATCGCTTTGAACACCATCCTGAGGCAGGCGCGGATGCACCATCGGCACCTCAGGCAGAGTCGTACCCTCGAGGTACCCCTCCAATGAGGGATCTTTGCTGGGCAGTTCCCGGATCCCCTGCTACAAGTCTCTAACTTTTGGTGGTTTAGTAAAGAAAAACTGCCACTAAACCGCGAAGAACCCAAAAAACTAAAGAACAAGATGGCTGGGAACCACCCAGGTTGGAGGAGTTAGCTTTACTGAGAAGGGCATGGCGATAAGGCATAAGTGTGCTAACCCCTGTTCTCCCAAATTTTATCATGGTCGCACCCTACTTACTAAGTGGTTTTATCATCCAAGCTGGGCAAACGGGAAACAAATAACCCCCAGCAAAAACAAGAAACGTTCACTATGGAATCGTGTGTTGAACCGTCCCCCGAATCGGTGAGCTCGTTCTAATTTGTGCAGATTGACCCTGTGTTCCTCAAATCCCCCCACATATCCCCCTAGGTCCTCCAGTAGAGAGGTTAGAATAAGGGTAGTAATTACCTTTTTTTCTGTAGTCGATTTTAGTAGGGGAACCCTCCCCCCAAAAAAGGGTACAAGGGCACTACTGGGGGGCCTAGCCCCCCACACTGTGAATAGCCAAAATCCTGCACCTGGTGGTGGTTTGCTACCAGATCCTCACAGAACTCTGTGGCAATTTTTTGGACGCCAGCTCCGAGCCCGTGGCTCCCTTCCCACCATTACTTGCTGGTGCGAGAAGGGACTGAGAAATGGAAGGAACCCAGGCTTTGGCCCCCGAATAAAATGGAAACCACCAGTGGGATGGTTTCTTCTTGGGGTCATTCCATTTCTCATTCCCCGCATCTCTCGCACCAGCAAGATTTTCACAAAAAAAAATCCAAAACCGGGCTTGGATCCCCAAGCGTTTAGAACCAAATCACCGCTTTCGCTGGCACCCCCCCGAATCGGTGAAAATGCTTCCTCCCGCGCGCTGCGGCGCCGGGCGGGCTTGTGGGTCCATCCACCCGCGCGGGCCTTCTGAAGCTCCTGCGGCCGTGTTCCAAGCCAAACTCGCTGCTTTTTGCTGACCGACGAGGAATGCAAAACGTTCAACCCTGGGACTTAAGTACTGCGCATGGTTGCGAAATCCATTTCGCACCGCCTAAGACACCCTGGAATGAGAACCGATTCCCCTGCAAAAAATACCAACAAAGTGGCGCGAAATGGATTTCGTCCATCCACAGTATGTCCTTGTAGGATGGTCCCACACTTGGTTGAACCCATGTCTAAACATGGAAAGTGTTGCCCGAGCCGCCTGGATAGACAAACACGAGCACAACTTCGGGAGGGAACCGAAGCAAACCCATCCAGGCCAGAGATCGGATCAGCACAGAGGGACCACAAAGGAGCGCTTGCTGGTCGAAACTTCAGCCGGGTTTTCGCCGTGAGCGCGGTCCCGCATGTGCTTCTCAAACTGCACGAGCAAGTTGAACTCCGCCGGAAACCGGGATTTGCTCACCTCGGGAACGGAGCAAAGAATCCGTATGCTCAACCCCGGCGAGTAAATGAATAGACCTCGCTCCTTGGGGGACGTAAAGACTTGGGCGGTGTATTCAGGGGTTCGCATTGCTCTGGGACCCCGGACTCCTTTTCCCACAAGCCACGTGCCGGGTTTGTTTGTTTGTTTTTTGGGGGGGCATGTTAATTTGCGGAAGAGTGCCCAGACTGAGCCAGCATTTCTCTGGCCACCCCAGCATGTAGGCTGGGTGTCTTACTTCATGCGGCAAGTATTCGCAGGAAGCTTGCAAAACCGAATGAAGCTGAGACTGGAGCGGGGGGGAGGGGGATGGATAGATTATGTTCATAGATAGTAAACACTGAAATGTAAAATACATTTGGAAGAGACTCTAGCAACAAGCGTCCACTCTGCTATCTGCGCTAGTTATCATGATGATGCGGGCTCTACAACTGAATCAAATACCTATGGATGGTGACCCACCGACAATGCAAGTTGAGCTGACGATTGGCTTACTTGCAGTCACTAGTAATGGAGGAGGATGTCTTGTTGCCAACCACCACCTCGGGCTCACTGGTGAACGTGGTTGGGGGCATGACTGGGGCCTGCTTCTACCCCTCCAACTGGTTTTTCAGTACAACTAGGGTTGACTGCATGGATAGCCGGCGAATGAGTTGTTCCCAAACAAGAACGCTTGGGGAACCAAGCCCCCAAACGCCTTGGGGAAAAACAGAATTGACCGAAACTGAGCTGAGTTGTTTGCTTTTTCTTTTTCTTTTTGGGGGGGGGGGGGGGGCGTGTGTTCGGGGGGTTGGTTTGGGCGACGCTTTCTTTGGCTCCAACCAATGGGCACGTCAGATGCTACACACCTGTTCCTCGGGTGCAAGCGATCGGACCCCCTTTACAAGCCTTCAAACGGGTCTGAGTGGGTTGCGTTGCAAGGTTCCCCTCAAGGAGAGACAGCCACCCCCCCCCAAGCCCACCACCAGGAAGGTACCCTCCGGTGATTCTGCCTTCAACACGTCCCCTGATTCCTGATTTCAACCACCTATTGTTTGAACAACCTCACTTTTGGTGTGTTCTTAGGGGCAGCAACTGGCAAGAACCTCACTTTGGTGTCCTCACTTTGGGGTAGAGACTGAATCCAAGAGTTGATTAGTCTTGATCCTGGCGTTATTTTTTCAGCGAGTTGGCTCTGGTATTCCCTCCGTTTCCTCACTTTGCTGTCCCCTTCGCACCAAAAACACACACGTCCCTTCCAGGTCGTCCCGGCCAGCAGGGGCGCCGAGGCCCGAGAGTTCAGCGGGTGCCACCTGGAGACTGGCCAAGGCCTGTGTTCCAGAGATGTGTCCTTCTTCCTTTCAGCTTCCAGAAGTCCTTGCATGTTGAACTTGAAAACTTAGAAATTGGTTCGAACCCCCCCCCTTTTTACTGGCCGGACAACAGCCAGGAAAGCCTTGTACCGGTCCCCACGAAGGCAGCTGGTGGCACCACCTACGGAAAAAAAGAAGAACGCACACTCTGGAGGGTTCCCCGAAATCCAACCGCACCAGCGTTCAGAAACCCCCGGCGAAATGGATTTCGTTCATCTACAACAGAGTTTTGCCGTGGGACCCCAAAACCCTAATGAAACATCGCGCCTGGGAATTTGCAACTCCAAACCCTCCGTGAAACATGCGGCTGAGTGTTAGCACCGAAGAAAGACTCCAAAGGCCAAGCTCAAGCATCCCGGAAAGTCGGCAAGGTTCGCTTCACACAAGGCTCTGGCTCTGGGCCCATCTCCACGGAACTCAGATGGCTGGGCCCCTGATTCATCCACCGGGTTCGCAAAGCGACCAACGGATTTCCGCAACAACAAAAATCGACCTCAAAATCAAATTCAACAGGGGTGATGTGCTGGCGTGATCTGAACCACAACTAGTGAAGTTCCCGTTTAGAAACGGACCATCAAACTCAACCAGCTTTCCCAAGACTTCCCGGGCCCGATCTCTCGATCTCCCGCTCGAGGCGAGCGGGCGAGGTGCCTGGTTGTTTCCCCCTCCAGGCCGGACAGATTGACCAACGTGTAAACCTGAGTGCACGAAGCACGAGGCCCGGGGAATACGAAGGGATGCAGAAGTGCACTGTGGATGGACGAGATCCATCAACCGCAGCACTTTGAATCCATGAAAGCCGTTCTGAAAGCCCATGGTTTGCTGGCATTTACTTCCGAATCATCCTTCCAGGCGGGATTTCGTCCATCCACAGTACAAGGGGCTGCAGAGTTGTGAAAGCAGATGGCACGATTCCCCCATGTCGGTTTAGTCAGCGCCTTTAGTGAAACAGTTACCCACACAAAGAGAATCATGCCATTCACTCTCACACTACTGTACACCGTATTTATCGCAATACTTGGCTGAACCCGGTGGTCAAGTACAAACCCATGCTAGTCGTTCGCTATCCCCCATCAGATTTGGACTCCCAACACACCAGCCGCTCCCGAGCCAGACGGACCTTTGTTGCTAAGTGCTTGCCGGGGAACCTTTGTGGCCAAAGGGAAATCAAAAGCACACCGAAAAGCATTCGATTCAATCAGGGTTGCCAACAAACTGGGACCCTGGGTCTTGGGCTCTTGGGTGTGTCGATCGTTCCTTTTTGAGAACACCCATGCTGCAGATTGCAGGGATTTTCCAGGCAGAATCGTGGTGATCGCAGAAACCCTTCATCCTCTCAAAGCCGAGACCTCGGTCGGTGGACCCTCCCACCAACTAACATGGGACCTGACAAGGGGTCCCTTTGAACGGAGCATGGTCTAAACCAGGACTCCCCTGTCAGGTTCCATGTTCATTGGCGGGAGGGTAAAAGATGCGGCATGCTCCTCTTCAGGTGGGGCTGTGCACCTTTCGCGGTCTGGAACCAGTGCCGGTAATTCCTTGAAGAGGAAATTCTACCAGGGTTGGTACCCACTTCTGTGATACCAACGGGACCTTCCAAATGACCAATTATCCATTGAAAGGGGAGGTTTCCTGGTATCACAGAAGTGGAAAAAACTGACTCCCGCAACCCTGGATTCTACACTTCTGAAAGGGGTTCCTTTCTCGTACTGAACAAGGGGCATGGCGAACCCTTGGAACACGTTTGCCTGGCATTGGACACCGGTGGCAACTGCTTGCCAAACCTCCCCATATTTCCCCGGCCAAGGGGAGGGGGGCCAAAGATCAAATGATCAGGTAATAGAACAGGCTAAGCTTAGCTACACACTTGCATTTTTCACTTTTGAGACTGTAAGAAAGGGGGGGGGCAAAGATGAAATGATAGTTACACGCATATCCATTTGTTTACTTGTATTGTCTGTAAAGATATTGCATGTTCAACGATATGCTGATTTTTAAACACTTTTGGGACTGTAAGTTGGTCTTAATTGAAAACGCCCCTCACCCCGCCCCAGTAAACCCCGCCCTCGCGGCCACGGGAGCGCGCGCCTCTTTGGGCTCCGTCTTCACTGCCTTCCCCTGGCTGCCGCAGACAAACTCCACGTAGGACTCCGGGTCCTCTGAAAGATGCCGTTTCCGTCAACAGGTCAACCGGTCAGGTGTATGCCCTAAGAAAAGGGTACCCCGAAGACCATAGGTGACCTTTTTTGAGAAAAACATGGAACCCTAAGGGTACACCAAAGACAACAGGTGACCTTTTTTGGGAAAAAATGGATGGGTTCCCTGGCAAATGGAAACAAAACCCGCCTAAACAGGTGAGAACCATCTATTTCTAACCAAACCAATCTAAGAAGGACACCTGTGCCAAAGAACACACCCATAGAATTTGATTCTCCATTCTGCTGAGACATGTTTTTCAAACATTCCTTCTTTTTTGGGTCTCGCCGGTGTTCCAAACTCCACGTCCAGGACCAAAGCGTGTCCGAGACATCCTGCAATTTGAGAAAGGGCGCTGTCCCCGATGTCGGATGTCGTTCGAAGGGAGAGTTTTTTTTTGATGTCTTCTACAGGGTCGAGAACATTGTTTGGGTGTTTTGTTTTTTTGACGGTACCCCTTTGCTGTTGGTGGTGTTCAAGGGAAATCAGAAGGAACACCATCATTTTCGAAGTCGTTCAAAGTCACACACATTAGGAGAACCTCATGATGGATCTTCACCAGTTCCTTTGTCACCGGACCCGCTGGGGTGTGTACAGAATATGAACGATCCACTTCGCACCACCTGAGAAACCCTGGAATGATTCGATTCCCCTGTAAATACCCACAAACAATGGTTCCTATGCTTTGAAAGGGGGGCAGGATTCTAACCCTCCACAGTATGTGTTTAAAGGGGAGCCAATAGGGAAGCCAACTGCCCCACGGGCTTCTTGATCTCCCGTCTGGCAGGAGGAATTTGCAGAGCACGAAGCCAAAAGCCTTGAAAAGGGGCAGGGGGTGCCCGTCGATTTCTTGGGGAGCGCAACCCCATGGTTCTCCGCTTATCCTGTGAGGCCTGAAACCGGGCGAGGCGTAGGCCCGGAAGAAAGGGTTGTTTCTTTTTGTTTTTTGCGCTGCTTCAAAGGTGGAAATGAGGACCACCCAAACGGTAAGTTGAAAAGGTAAGCTGCGTCCAATAAAACACAGGGCTTGGAAGCGCCCCTTGGGCCCCGGAAAGGGAAAAAACAAACAAACAAAAACACGAGGTGCCAGGTTCAAGCAGTTCCTCCCCTCTCCTCAACGGCATCCGTGGGGAACACCACCGTCCTCAAGGCCAAGCATCTGAGCAAACCCCCGCGAGGGGCTTGCTAAGTCAACTTTGGGTTGCTAAAAAAATGGAACCCTCGTGGTACCAAGGTGGCCTTTTGGGAAAACATATATGGCCCTGGTACATGGAATACATTTCATCTAAACCAGTGCCATCGAGTTTGTAACCAAACCTAAAGAGGACACCTACGCTCGCGTGTGTGTGTGTGTGTTGAAAAACATTTCAACACGAAGGCGGTGAGTACTTTTATTGACCCGTGGCATGGCGATGGTTGTTCCGTCCACCAGCCCCCAGGTTGAGGTTGCCGGGTTGGTGGGTGCCGGGGGTGGGTGCCGGAGGGGATGCAGGGTGGGTGTACAGTGGGGTAAGTGTGGGCAGTGGAGGTGTACAGTTGGGTGGTGGCTCTTTTTGACATGTTGCAAGCCTGCAGAGGTCGATCAAAGCAAGCTTCAAGTCTCAGGCGAATCCTTCGGGGGGAAGTGTTTTGCGATGATATTCATCACCACCCCAGTGTGTGCAGGTCAGATTGTATATATGGGTATGGGTCAAAATAAAACCACCAACTGGACCGCAGGTTTTAGTCCTTCTTTCCATGTTTCCAGGGTTCCATTTGGGGTACCTAGTTTTTGACCCACAGCCATATATATATATATAACATATTAACTTGCTCTCACCCAGGATCGAACTAAAGTCGAAAGGACCCACACATCTAACTGACAGTGCAGGTGCTCAAGGTCCCGGTGAGATCGATGGATTCGCCGTCGCCGACGGAGATCGGGAGTCTGCTGGTGGGTTCCGTTTGCAACTCCAGGTTTTCTAGGTCCTCCAATAGAGAGGTTAGGGTACCCCTTTTTCTGTAGTCTATTCTAGTACGGGAACAGGACCACCTAGCTGGGGGACCTAGTTTTACGTTCTTCGCCGCCGCTGAGCGCCTAGCTCCCTGGGGTGAAAACTCTGCTTCTCCATCTCTCGCTGGATATCCTGGCAGGGCTTCACACAAGAGGCTCGCCCTCCGGCGAAGTTGGAACTTTGGCCTCCCTTGGTGCGGGGAAAACGCCCCCCGGAAAACCTGAAAAGATGTCCGCAAGTGATAGATTCCCTGTAAATCCGACACAGGAAATATTAGATATTCTTAAGCAATGCCCACTAAAAGGACTGCTCCCACTCAACCTTCTTCGCAACCAAGCCAATGTCCTGCCCCTGTGGCAACAGGTGAGGTCTGACTCACCCAAAGCAGAAAGTAGCCACGAGCCATCGCAAGAAAGCGCTGTTTGTGTAGAATGGCAGAACTAGGTTGACAACAAACCTCAGTCCCTTCCCCAAAGAATTGACCCCTGGGAAGCTTGACTTAGACTGCAGCACGCACTTCCTCCGTGGATTGGCGAAACTAGTCCGAACTTTTGTTTACCACCAAAATTGTCTTCAGTAAAGTATAAGGTTCAGAAACTGGATCAGTGAGACCAACATGGTAAAATCGCAAATGTCAGAAGATCGATTCGCTTCGGGCAAGTTAGACACTGGGAGCCCTGGACGACCAGTTTTCAAGAGTCTTTTTTCCGAGAGCAGGTACTCCAGGGTTGATATTCCCCTGCAAAGTGACAAGGGATCTACCAGCCCGCTAGCTGAAAACGGTCACGAGGAAAACTCCACCAGTAAATGTCCAAAAGCACAACCCTTGGATGCAAGACATGGGAATCTCCCAAACTTGGAATACTGAAACTGGCCAAGGACCCGCTTGTTGCAGGTGCTTTCTTTAGAAGCCCAGGTTTGCCAAGGGCGGTTGACATCCAAACTGCTGGGGTACTTGAAGCAGGAAAGGCTCTCCTAAATCGCCGCCATTTACCCAACGGAAGGCCACTCTAGGCTTTCAAGTCATAGATTTCAGGACCCCCAAACACACCTCCAAGGTTCATCGATGTTTCGCTCTTTAGGCCAGCTACAAAAGCCAGAACACCCAAACCACGAGGGGAAAATCGCCACTTGCCAAAAGCTCTGTGTTTGGGGACGTCGATTCAGTCCCTGAAAGCCGGGTTTTCGAGTCAGTCGATGCCTCCAGCTGGTGAAGGATCTTCGACCTGCAAAACGGCCCCATTTTTGCGCGACGTTGTTCGGCCCTTTTGCGGCCTGGGTTGGGAAAACACAGAGGAAACACCTATGTGGGTCATCCCAAATAAGGTCAACCCTTTTTTTCCAACGCGGAAGCCCTTGCCATTTGCGGTCTGTGCTGGAAGGGACCCTGTACAGGGAGCCAATCCCAGAATCAAAGAACGGCAGCGACGCAGGAGTACTTCCGGGGGTGAAAATCGGAGAGCATTGCCCTCATACTGGTTTCATGGCTAGTTGGGCATTGGTTCTGCGTTTGTGTGGTGCAAGTCCGACATGAAAGTAGGTGTGTGTGCGTGTGCGTGTGTGTGTGTGTCTGAGAGAGAGAAAACGTAATGTGAATCCCGTTGGGGGGAAGCTACGCCTCCCTTGCAAAGGGAACATACACTGCCATTGCGTTGGAGCCTAAGAGCTCCCGGGGGTTTAGTGCAACCCCAAGCAACCAGCAAGTGGCCTTGCCGCTCTTTTCTCACTCCATTGCAAGCTCAGGTGCCCTGAGCAAATGTACAGTGACCAAATGGCTAAAGGGATCCCTCGGACCAAAACGGCGAACAGCGTGTGCAAGGTTGTGGCTCTGTAGGCAAAACACAAGAGGCTCACACACACGAGGCTGAGAACTTCACATGCCCCAAAGGCTGTTGCCGAAAGAGACTCAACCTAGCGTCTCACGAGTTCTCGCCATGAGCGGTCTCGGAGTTCCGCTCCATCTTCTTCTCCTTCGCCTCGAAGAAGCGCTTGCTTCTTCTTCTTGGCGCTGACGAACTTCTCGTCATGCACCAGATTCCACAGCTGCCCAGCCTGGAGAAACTTCCGCACTCTGTCCTGTGCGCTCAGCTTGGTCAGCCCATCTGCCAATTGGGCGTCACTGTCGCACCACCTCATCTGCGTGTCCTGGCGGCCCATGTTCTCCACCAGTCCCAGTAGCTCGAGCGCGGTGTACTTCTCCCGCATGCTGAAGGCGGATGTCTGGATCTCGCCGTTGCTGGCCGCGTCATACAATGCCTTCGCATCCACGACCAGCACCCCTTTTGTCTTCTTCGTGCACTCCTCCGGCTTGGCCAGGTCCACGGGGAACCCACTCATCTCGCTCCACTGAGTCCGGATGAACATCACCTCCTGCTCAGTCTCCGCCAATGCTTGGGTCTCAGCGCTGAGGCTCGACCGACAAACTCGCTTGAGTCTCGTTGAGGACCAGCTGATCAGGCTCACCGGTCCACGAACTCCATCAAGCATGCTTGCATGACACATGCCGATCATGTAGCCTCCCGTTGATCCCAGATCCACTCGGTTGGCAAGCGCCGCGTCTGACCATCCAACAACCACCAGGTCGTCCTCCTTTTTCGCATTCAGGTTAAAGATCCGCAGGGCGGTGTCTTTCTGGCCATAGACCTCGCGGACAAGCTTGTTGATCTCGTCCAAGACGGTGCTGTCTCCTCTCGGGAGCACACTCTGGAGGTGGCTCAGCTTTGCGGCATGCTGAGGTCCACTCTGATACACTCGCCACTGCACTGCACCCAGCACCGCACGAGCCTGAAATCGTTCATTCTAGTGAGCTCCTTGCCTGTGCCATCTCGGGTGACTTGTGAAAGTCCCGAGCAGCACTCCTCCTGATCCAGCAGCCAGCCACCATCAGGTAGTTGCTGCAGTTGAACTCCACAGCGCATCATCGGCGCTTCTTCACACAGGCTCCATTTGAGTGGCGCGTGGAACTTCTTCACCGCCACATTCCATCGCTCATCACTTTCATCTCCAGTGATGAGGAAGTCATCCACATGGGCAGAAATCAGCCCGAGTACCCGCTGCTTGCCGTCCTCCCGGTTCATGTCCGGCACCTTCAGACTCCACATGCACGGCTCCGTCTTCAATCTGCTCAAACCAACCTCCGCCAGGATGGCGTCCACCTTCAGGAACCATTCTCGAGGTGCCACCGTGAGTCCATAGGTAGCCTTGAGAAACAGCACCGCACGCCCCTTTGGGAGATTCATTGCCGTGGCCAGCTCCTCCGCCGGTAGTCCAAAAACTTGTCGTTGAAGTTGGGTCTCTCCACCTTGAAGAAAAGCAGCGCGGGCGTCGGCCTTGGTCACTCGCCAACCTCGGTGCGCTGCCGTTTGAAGTAGCAGCTGTCTGCTTCTCCGTGTCATCGTTGGGCTCTTCGTGTTGACGTAACCGGCATCGGGGTCCGAGTAGCCGAGCACCACCAGACAAGCTTTCGCCTTCACCGTTCCATCTTCGGGTCCGTTCTTGAAGGTCAACACCCATCTCATCTTCATCAGCCGATGTGGCCCATGTGGCGGGACGTCGCCGATCGCAGCCCGCACCACCTTGTTGCTCAACCACTCATTGATTTCGGCACCCTTCGCCTCCTTCATTGCGGCTCTCTGCTCCAGTGAAAGCCTCTGCCAGGACACCTCCACACCTTTTGCGACCTTCTTCGCCATGAACTTCTGAGGGTCCTTCACGATGGCCTTCCACTCTGTCTCATCCTTGGGCTCTGGCAGGATCACCGCAAACACAATGTTCTCAAACTCCTGGAGCTCCGACACAAAGCCCAGGACATCACGCTCTGCTTCAGGTTGCTCCTTTATCACATGCTGAGGGCGGTCCTCCAGCTCATGTCTCCTTTTCGCACGCTGAAAAAGCTCATTCCGCAACAGCTCACCTCCATCTTGAATGGGGTCAGGCTGACCTGATGACGAGGACGGTCTTCCGGTCGATGAGGGGGTCGCGTTCATCGGCAAGTAATCCGCATCATCCACCAGGCGGCTGCCATCCACATCTTTGTCTTCTCCAAAGATCTCCCGGAAGAATTCTTCCTCCTCAGTCCTCTGCCGTTCTCGCTCTCTCCGAAAAGCTGGAGGCTCTCTCTCCTTTCTCGCAGGTGCGTCGGCTTGAGACTCATCCCCGCCGATCTCACCGCTCTGTCGTTTCCACCTTCTCGCACGCTCGCCATCCGCGAAGCCAAACTTCCTCCGCTTCTGCTTGGTTCCTGCTCCCGGCGTAGAGCTCGGTCTTCTACGAGATCCTCGAAGGCCCCCTTGTTGAGTCCGGCTGCTACATCACCGAAGGTCCAGGGGGTCGTGATCACCTGACCATCTTCAGCAATGACCTTTTCTCGTTCGGAGGCATGTCTGAGTTGAAGGACATGCACTCGCTTCAGTCTCCCCTGGCTGATGATCCATGCCAGCTGATGTGGTTGCCGGATCTCCCCTGAGAAGGTCACCTTCGTCTCCAATGCCAGGATCCTCGCAGGTCCATACCACCTCGCCAGACGCAGCCGAGGAACATCGAGTCGAGCATGGCTTCGTGCATCTGCAGGTTGTTGGTACCTCCGGTAGAAGACCAGGTCCCCGGGGTAGTACTTCACCACAGGTCGAGACTGTGAATTCCGAGCCCGTGAGATCTTGTCCTCAACCGTTGCCTTCCGGTAGCTGGTCTCAGCCTGCATTCTGATCTCCAAGGTCTTCCGCATCCGTTCGTCTGAACTCACCGAGGACCAGAAAGGTAGGTCCTGTCCATCATGAAGTCGGTCTGCGTCAGTGAAGTTTCGTCCAAAAACCCACTGCTGTGGAGAGTATCCTCCGACCCGGGCCAGTCCATTGTGGGCGGTCACCATTGCCCAGGCTGCTTCACGTGGATCTCCTTCACTAGAACGCAGATGTCTGATCATCCGGTCTTTCAGCACGCCAATGCCACGCTCCACCTGTCCGATCATGCCGTGAGACTCCGCAGGGATGAAGTCCATCTCCACTCCATGCTGATCTGCCCATTCAGCAAGTAGGGTACCCCGGTGTGCTCCTTCTTTATCAAGCTTGATCTTCTCCGGGTACCCAAAGTACTGAATCCATCTGCTCTGGAGAGACTCCAAGATCTCCTCTGAGGTGGCATTCCGTCCCTCTGTCGCCTTGTGCTTGAACAAGTAGACGACCACCGCAAAGGAACTCGCCTCGTCCATTATCAGCTGGAAGTGGTAGACCTCCTCTCCCACGGTGATCATGAGGTTGTCCGTCTGCACCACCTGCCACAGCTTGTTGGCCGTCTCTATCGTGGTCGGCCGCTTCGCAGATGGCATGTGAGCTTCTTGACAGTCTTCGCAGACCATGTTCTTGGCGATCACCAGCAGCTGTTGGGAAGCTCCTCTGTCCTGTAGCATCCGCATCAGGGCTTGTCGACTGGGATGACCAAGTCGTCGATGTAGTCGCATCAGGTCCTGGCCCATCTTCGCCAGCTCCTGATCCGTCATCCCTTGCAAGCAAGACCTGTCGAGTTCTGCTGTCGTTGCAGCCATCACCGCGTCCGCCTTGTTCCTGTCCCGGTGAATGCCCATCATCACGTGCGCGATCCGCTGACACAACCTCACTGGGTACAGTGCTGAATTCCTCGTCCGGAGTCCACCTTCACATTTTCCATGGACGTGGTTTCCCGGACATTTCCTCTCCAACTTCCAAACCCATTGTGAGGTTCCGCGAACGATCCACGGCTTCTTGATGATCTCGCCCTCCATGACGAGGCCGTACGCGCATCCATCCACCTGGGCCTCAAAGTACCGGCGTTCACGATGTCGCCGCTTCCAGAAATGCCGGATGCTCGCAAATCCCCAGCCCCAATTTTCCTTGGGCCATTCTTGAAGAACTTCTCCTGTCAGCTCAATCTGCTTCTCCACGAGAGAAATTCCACGAGTAGCTCGGCGTCTAGCCAGAGTGATCTTCTTGTCGCTCTTCGCGCGGGATTCCGGAGTCAGCCGATTCAGGGCCTGGATGGTCGAGGTCGCTCCGCACGGAAGAGACAACCACAGGATGTCCGGTCGCTGTCAATGAGCTGCTCCACCTTCGCGTAGCCTGCCCTCTTCATAATGTCGCAGTTGTTGAAGAGGCCACAACGAACGATGGTCCCACCGACGGCTTCCACGGCCTGACCAAGGCCACTGTTCTCTTCGCAGCACAGCTCCCTCTCCTTCATGCCACCCTTGTTCTCGCCGATGCCCATCATGGACCAGGCCTCATTGATGGCGCTGAGGTAGTGGCTGTACTGCTCGTTGACCATCTTCTTGTCCTCCTCCGTCACGTTCACCATCACGTCGTGGTAGTTCGCGTCCGGTGTCTCGTCGACATCCTCGAAGTCCACTGAGGTCTCTTCCTCATCTCCCATCACTCCGAGCGCTCCTGATACTCCAGGTCCTCCGCCGTCTCCTCCGCCTTCCGGGCTTTGCGGCCCGGCGTAGCTGACATCTGGTCCGGCCCCTTCTTCACCGGAATCTTCTTCTCGCGCACGATCGTTGCCTCGTGCTCCGCGTCCTCCGGGTCGCTGGAGAACACGATGTACTCCCGCGTCTCTGGGGGCACATTTGGGCTTGGCTCCGAGCTCTTTCTTCGGCTTCTCCATGTTGTGCTTCTCCGAGCTCTCCGCCTGCTTGACCAGGTTGGCCTTCCTCTCCTTGATCTTCGTTCGCCAGCTGGTTCAGCAAGCTCTGCTCGGCTCCGTCCAGCCCAATGTGCGCATCCTTCAGCTTGACCGTGCCCTTGAGCTTCTCCGGATCCTCCTTGGCTAGGGCTGTCTCGACGTCTTTTGACAATGGTCCGGCCTTTCTCGTCAACCCATGCGCTCCGAAGGCTGGAGTGTACGACAGCCTGATTCCGCACTGGCAGCACCCCGTCCAGATCGCGAACTTGTTGGCCCCGCTGATGCTGCCCGGCCCCGGCCTGGCTGGGATGTGAGCTCCGAAGCATGGTGCCCCCACGCATCTCTCGTCCCGAGGATCGGGACCTTGCATCCTTGCCGAATCGTACTTCTCCTCCGGCGGCACCACGTTCGTCATCTTCTTCTTCCCCTTGCCCTTGCTCTTGCCATAGTTCTTCTCCGTGGCCATGGGATTCACTCGCAGGTGAGCTAGGGGAAGCTAGGGCTTGTAGGATGCGGTCCCGCATCTCTTGATCCGAATTGCTGTTCGGGTCGTTCAATTGCGTTCCAGCCCACAACACCTGGTTTCCGCCATCATCCAAGACCGGAACTTGCCCTTCAACTTCAAGGCCACAGACCATAACTTCAGAGGCATACAGATCTGTCACACCTTCACCCTCCCCATGCACCATGTATGCTGTCTCGGTCGGATCCGTAAGGTGCAAAACAGGCTCGGGTGTCTGTACATCAGGCAAGGGTTTGCCGCTCACCATCCAGTCATTTGTCAAATCTACAAGCAAATGACCTGCCGCGCTTCGCCTCAAAGGGACTTTCAGTCCTGGGCACACACGACTCAAAACCATACACTGGCCTGCCACATCCAAGATCGCGCCCAACTTGGTCAGCGTCTTCACTCCGATGAGGATGGGGATCTGGCCAACGTCCAACGTGAAGATCCCCAGTTGCAACCACTGCTGTCCAATCTGCTGAGGCACCAGGATGTAGCTCTCTGACCGCTGCACCTGGTTGTTCCCGAATCGGAACGACTTCTGTCCATGTGGGATCACCTTGATCTCCTTGGCGTGATGCGGTCCTCGCAGTTGGCACAGTTTCTCGATCGCCTCTAAGGAACCGACCGTCTCGGTGGCACCGATGTCCAGCACCCCGAAACCGGCAGTCTCCCGAACAACTCCTCCAGGTCGCTCAGGATCATCCATCATCATGTCCGTGCCTCCCACGAAGACCTTCTGCTCCTCGTGCTCGTCCGTTCATCGCTGAGGGAACGGTGGTGTTCCAGAAGACGTTCTTCCCCTTTCCGGAGCTCTGCTCGCCCGATTTGGGCACTGCCGAAAACCATGATTCCTGCAGATAAAGCATCCGGTGTAGCCGTTCACCGCTAGGGCACTCTCCGTCACCAGCACATTCGAGGGCTTGCCCATGGTGGTTGAGGTGCTCGTCGAGCTCGATGAACCTTTCCAGCCACCATAACCTTTGCCCTTCCCGAAGTTGCCCTTTGGCTTGCCTTTCTTCCCCTTGCCTTTCCCGAAGGGGTAGAATCCCGGCGCACCACCTTTTGCTCTCTGAAAGGTCTTGCTCTGCGCGAAGGTCCGGGCCTTGTCCTCGAAGGCCGCGTAGGCGTCGTCCAGATCTCCAACCCAGTGCACTTCTCCACTCAACTCCTCCATCGCGTCATCTGGGGTCATAAGCAAGCCCCACGCACCTTCCTCCTCGACCCAGTAGGTCCGTCTCCGTTGTTGTTGAGGGGGTCGATGAGCATCCACATGAAGTAGTTCTTCTTCTTGATCTCGAAGTGCTCGCTCGATGGCTCTGAAGGAGAGCGAGTTCTGCACTGATGCCTGTACGCTCAACCGGGATGAAGAGCTCAAGTTGGCTCTCCTCAGCAGGAGCCACCCGAGAACCTCGTCCGGGAGCACCTGCACATCCTCCACCTCAAGCTCATCCCACGGCAGATCCTCCCCAGAGGATAGATCTTCTCCGCTATCTTCTTGATGACTCTTTGCACGCCCAGACTGCTTCCACTTCTTGAACTTTCTCCAATCTTCCCATTCTTCTTCCTTCCAGTCTTCACCATGTTCAGCTTCATGAAGGTCACGCACAACTTCTTCTTCAACCACCGCTTCTCCTTCTTGAACTGGCGTTCGTGTCCTTGCGGCGGTTCCTGATGCTGAAATCACCGAGGGCGTCCGAACTCCTTGAGATCCAGCGCCACCTTGTGGTTCTCCATGTGGTTCTGACTTGGATGAGGTGCTTTTGTCCAAGATCGCCTTGGTGAGGTCCTTCTTCGGCTCCATCTTGCGAGCCCTGACCAAGGCTCGTTGAACCTTGCGGTACGCCTCCTGCACCTCGTTCGACCATTGGCTCATGGTCATTCCCAGCGGTCTTCTCAGCCTGATGAGAAGGTCCTCCAACCGCGCTCCGGCATCTGGCACCGGAGTTCGACACAGTCGATCTTGCAGATAGCGAAGCAAGTACTTCGTGCCGTTCTTCTTCTTGCTCAGCTTCTCGTGCGAAAGCTCGTAGGTCACGGCCCATGCTCTTCCAGTCAGGCGAGATGCCAGTTCGGGTCCGAGATGGCGTCGCTTCCAAGAGGGAGTCTTTTCCCATTGCAGTCGCACCTTGCGCGTGTAGTCGGCCCAAGTGGCCGGGTCTCCGTCCCACGTCACGTAGAACTCCTTTGCCTGCATGGCGGCCATGTTCTGGGTGGTGTGGTGTTTCCCTGAACTTCCTGCCCGGTTCGCCGGGCTCCGCTACCAACGTTGGAGCCTAAGAGCTCCCGGGGGTTTAGTGCAACCCCAAGCAACCAGCAAGTGGCCTTGCCGCTCTTTTCTCACTCCATTGCAAGCTCAGGTGCCCTGAGCAAATGTACAGTGACCAAATGGCTAAAGGGATCCCTCGGACCAAAACGGCGAACAGCGTGTGCAAGGTTGTGGCTCTGTAGGCAAAACACAAGAGGCTCACACACACGAGGCTGAGAACTTCACACATTGTTGAAAGGAGCCCATTTCATCTGGGCAAAAAGTGGAATTATCTCCCTCGCTCTCTCACTCTCTCTCTCTCTCTCTCCCCTCTCTCTCTCTGTCTCTCTCTGTCTCTCTCTGTCTCTCTCTGTCTCTCTCTGTCTCTCTCTGTCTCTCTCTGTCTCTCTCTCTCTCTCACTCTCTCTCTCTCTCTCTCTCTCTTTTTCTCTCTCTCTCTCTCTCTCTGTGTCTGTCTCTCTCTCTGTTCCTGTCTGAGGGCTGTGCCCGCTCGCTGCGTAAAACAATAAATTCATATGCAAAGACAAAATCCCTGTGAGAAGTGGCAAAACGAAGGTGCAGCCCAAAAACAGCCTGAAACAAGGTTTAATTCACAAACCTGAAACAAGGTGTATCTTCTTGCCTGGTGAGCTCATTTTGCTCCCAGGTCTTGCTTGAAAAACATGCCCAGATCTAATTGTCGAAGGTGGTCCAATCGCCCAACCAATGGGGCACATTTCGAGAGACTCCGATGTGTGCCTAAAGCAGCACATCAACAGGCACGGAATTAGGACCCATCCCCATCCGCCCATGGCACTTGTGCTACAGGAATTGCGAAAAAAGTGATGTCAAAAAACCGTCCTCAAACTGGCACTTGAACAAATCACGCAACCGGAAAAGCCAAGAAGGACATCTGCAGACTTTCAGCAGCCCCAACAAAATTTTATGGCACCTAGCAAACATTCCCGAATGGGGGAAGTGCTGATTTGATCGAAAAACAAGCCCAACCCTCCAAAAGCTGGAGCTGAAATCAAGCATCAGCATGATCCTTTTACTTTCCCCCCACCCCCCACTGCTATCCACTGCTTGGGAAAGAGGATTGGTGAGTTGTTACACACTCTTTTGCCGGTTTCGACTTCCATGACCATCCTGTCAACATGAACCAACACCCTTTGCCTCCATTTCGAGAGGAAGTGTTCCCAGGTGAAATCCGCGAAATCCGCGAAAGAGAAACAGGCTAAGGTTCCGGCGATGAGGCGCCGTCCAAATCTTTGGGAACGGGGCCGTAGCCTCCTGCGCGCCGTTGCCCCCAAAAACCGCTCGCGATAGGTGTCATCTCTTTCCACCAAAAAAAAAAAAACACGAAAAAGGCACCAAAAAGCTGAAAACGTGCCGTTTCCCCCCCAAAAAAAATCGCTCGCCTGCGTGGCGTTGCCCCCCAAAAAATCGATATGTATCATCTCTTTCCACCGAAAAGGTCGCCCGAACAGCGACCCTAAAGCTCAAAACGAGCTTGAAACTCGGGACTTTTTGGCTGAACCCCACTTCCCATGCACAAAAATGGCCCAAAGACCTCTACTCAGAATGTTCTTCTCTTCCGCCTTAGGCCTTGGCTCGCGGCCGGAAGCCCGAGAACACCCGGTTCAAGGAAGGCGCACTCGAGATGGGCCAAAGACTGGTGTCTAACTTGCGGGGAAGGGTTTAAGGAAAATGACCACGCAAAGCTGCGCGGAAAAGGAAGAAAACTTCAACAGTTGGGAAATTCTTGCCAAAATGACGCTTCCAGCCACCCCAAACCCTAAACTTGCCCTACCTGCAAAAACCCATCTGAAAGCAAACCCCTGAAAGCAACCCACCAAATCAAAGGCCTCAACCTCTCAACAACTCAAAGGATCCAGCAAAAACAAAAATCGCCCCATGTCTCGCAGGTCCCCCGAGACGAATCCCGTTGAACCCTCGAGCGGCAGCTCGGCGCGGCGAGGCGGCGAGGCTCCTACCAGCAGGTGCTCCGAGAAGGCGGCGGCGAGGAGGGCCTTCAAGAAGCTCGTGTTCTTGTGAAAGGCCTGGCGAACCGTTTCCGCGGCAGCCGAACTGATGGGTTTCCGGTCCACCGCTAGGTGCTCCAGATTCGAGAGGATAGAATGAGGGTACCAACTTTTTCCTTTTTTGTCTATTTTAGTAGGGGAACCCTTTAGTGTCCTTTTGGGGGAAGTAGATGGGTTTCCCGCAACCCGCAGAACAAAAGGGAAGCTGTCCTGTTTCTCCTGGGGTTTTGATGGTTTCCGGCAAGAATGGGGAACATAGGTGTCCTTTTTTGGGGGGAAATAGATGGGTTTCCCTGGTAGATGAGTAAACCACCTAAACCAGGAAGCGCCCTCTATACGTTTGTTAAAACAACCAAAAAGGACACCTGTGCCTGGCGAACCCCGCGCGTTACGGAACTGATGGGTTTCCGGTCCACCAGATTCGAGAGGTTAGAAGAAGGGTATCAACTTTTTTACGTTTTTGTCTATTTTAGTAGGGGAACCCTTTAGTGTCCTTTTGGGGGAAGTAGATGGCCCTGGTAGATGAGTAAACCACCTGGTAAACCAGGAATCGCCCTCTATTCTTTTGCCAAAACAACCAAAAAGGATGCCTGGCGTTACGGCGGTACCGAACTGATGGGTTTTCGGTGAAAGGGAAACTGTGGATGGGAACGAGTCAGACCCGCTTCTCGCACCACCGTCCAGGAACCCTGGAATTTCTGAGTTGATTCCCCAACGCAAAAAAATAGAAACCATGATTCAAACCATGGTTTCTTAGGTGGTGCGAAATGCATTTCGTCCATCCACAGTATGGGCTTGCAAAAAAAAACTGACTGTTTTTGTTTGCAGCCCCTACCAAAAATGGACCGAACTGAAAAACCTCGAAACCGAAAAGTGGTTTCCCTGCCGGTGTCCCTTCGTAAACGAGCTCAAGAGGTTTTGTTGATGTGAACCCAGCATTCAGAGAAATATTGGGCGATTGGAGGGTGTGCGCAGGAGAGAATCTGTTCCAAGGCGGACCTCCCCCATGAAAACCCTGCATTCAACTGATTTGATGGTCCCATCCTGGAGGACCTCGGCAGACTCTTCGGAACTAGGGAAGGCGATATTTTTTTGGGAAGCCGCCCATGTTGCAACAATATGCATGGGCTCCAGGTTTGGATCCTCGGGAAACCATCTCCGGGCGGATGCCCCACTCAGAGCCCTGGAGCGAGTGTCGCAAAGCCCTTTTCCCATGACACGTCGGGAATTTTCCAGGGGTGTCCGAAAAAAAAAGAATGGGGAAGCCTGAGCCAAACAACTCGCCTCACGGAGTTCGAGCCTTCACACCTTGCCTCACCTGCTGAGCTTAAGGAATTCCGGTACGGAGGGGGGGGGGAGTGGCATTCGCGGCAAGACCACTGGTCTCAGCTCCCTGAACTGGTGGGGAGGAGGGAGGGTTTAGGGAACCCAACAGTTCCTCAAAAAAGGCCTTCGGGAACGTCTCCCCCCCCTTGGACCTGTTTGGGATTCCCGAATGAGTGAATGGCCCCAAGAGCAAGCAACCTAGTTTACCACCATGGTCGAAGCCCAAGCTTAAGTCCAAGGATGTGAGCACCTTGAACTTGGATCCAGCAAAACCTCGGCTCGAGAGGGAAGCTTCAGGACACTTGCCTTGGGAATCAACAAACAAATCAATAGGGCTTTAGGGCTTGAACCGGAGCAGCACAGGGATTCCCGGAAAACACCACAAGGTGTTTTTTGTCAAAGTCGTTCCGGGTAGGCGGGTTAGAGGGCACCCAAAACGGATTTTTCCCGTTCTCCCTTTGGGCTCCCTTTAAACCAAGCCACAAAAACGCTCCTTTCTCACGCATCGAACCAGGACGAGCCACCCATTTCTCTCTGGCTCTCCAGCTGCGCAACTGCCCCACTGCCGGCCTCCTCTCGCCGGAAGGCTCGCCAGTCCTGCATGCAATGAAATGGAGTGCACCCTGAAAATGACATCATGGCTGGGGTGGTAAGTTCGCACATATACATATATATATATATATATTATAATATGTATATACATATAATATATAATCATATATATATATATATGTAATATATATATATATATATATAAGTGTATGGTCAGACCCCCCCGAGGAACTACCTTTCCTTCTTTTTTCATAAAATGACTGCCTGAGCATATACATATATACATATATACATATATACATATATATATATATATGGCGTCGCCGAGGCGGAGAGGCACATTGGAAATGCATTTGACATGTTTACCACCACATTTTGCAAGCAGAAGACTAACCTGTATTGGTTGCTTCCCACTTGCCACAAGTAGGAGCAAAATCGTATAACACCCCAGCCACATGAACAAAAATGTCCCCTTCGCCAAGCGCCTTTGTGCGTGCTCTTTTGTTGCGCACCCCTTGGGTTGGTTGAAAGGGACGCCCAAGGGAAACCAGCCTATGGAAGTTGGATTTGGAGAGCCGAAAGGGGATGACGCCCCCAAAGGCAATTCCGGACGATTCTTCTTTCGACAAAGAAGGTCAGTTGTGAAACCAAAAGGTCCTTTTGGGACGATTTCACCATATGTATCCGAGGATGAAAATGGCTGCCAAGTCTACCCCCAACCCCCCCCCTTTGGGCCACGTTCCAAAGGCACACGTCTCTCCTTCCACGGAATCCCGGCCAGGTCGCCCTTGCGCACCACGTAGCCCAGACCCAGCAGCAGCCTGGCGAGCCGAACTGATCCGAGCGGAGCAGGATTCTCCGGTTTTTGCTTGCTGGTGGCGATAAGTAGGGAGGGAATGAACCTAAAGGGGTCCCCTTAAAGGAAACCAGATGGTTTTTTCTTTTTCTTTTTTGGGGAGGGGGGACCATTATGGGGGTCATTCCATTTCTCATTCCTGACTGAGCACCAGCGAGTTTAGTTGTCCCCGTGAAAAAAAAGAGGCCCAAAGAATTGGAATGGGGTGTGAGTACATTAAAAACCCAAATGAGACATGATTATAAGAGCAAACGACTCGTTCTCTTGCTTTGCCACACAAATTACTAGCCCGCCATGTTGAACGGCTTCCTTTTGCTCTGGAAAAGGAAGACCTCATGTCTTAGAAATTCCCAACTTAAATGGTTTTTCGGAGCGCTGCGGAAGCCCCCCTTCCAACCAGCCGATTCTGAGTCTTCCGCTCTGCCAAAAACTGCTGTCCAAGCCGGCTCCCAACAAAATCCAACAAACCATCTGTCAAAACGAAGGGACCCTGCTTCTTCCTGAGTGGATTTGCCAAAAAGGAGTCCAAACTTGTTTGCGCGCCATATCAAATGGTCTTCCGATTGAAGTGCAGGAACTCGAACAGGGAGGCTTCGGGGACAAACAGCTGCTTTCTCTGGCTGCAAACCCGCCGGCCGGGCTCCGCCAAAGAGCTCGCAGCCAAAGAGTCCGGCTGGCAGGCGCGGTACGTCCGCAACCTCCGCGGCTTTTTGAACATGGGAATGGTCGATATTTGCCCAGGGGGGTGGGGTCACGACTATCACCAGTAAAAGGCGGCGCAAGGGCGGCACCAGTGTCCAAAACGGGGCCATCTTTAAACCAGGTATTGGAATTTGGTTCGTAAACTTGGGTGAGCCCGCCAACTGTCAATCCCTTTGCTACAGAAGATGACAGTGAATATTGACCGTTGCTCGTGTCTTCTAGTTGATTCCCAGTGTCGGTGGACAAAATCCTGCACCACTTGGGATTTATAGAACCCCATACATAGCAGTTGATCAACCCTCGGAGAAAGAAGAAAAAAAACTGGACCCCCAAACCACAAGGAAAAAGAAAGGACAAACATGATACAGGGGGGGGGGGCTGGATGTTACCCTCGCCTTCCGCACCCTTGGTACAGGAGCAAAAGACCGAGTGCTTGGACAGTCTCCCCACCAGGGATAAAACAAGCCAAAAATACACAAATTGCGAAACCAACTGTTCAACGAGCCCAGTGTCGCCCACACAGTGCTGGAAGTCCTAAAGGGGCTTCCGGGCAACAGAGAACCGAGTTGAAAGCGCCAAGTCGAAGGTTGGAAGTTGGAAGTCTTCCGAACTCTGCCTCTCAGAACGGCGATCTAGCTGCTGGTGCGATAGGTAGGGAATGACGGAACCGGGCCCGGGTGTTGGGAATGAACCGTTTTGGGATTCCCAAAGAAAGGAAATCATCAGTTGGATAGTGCTTCCTCAAGGGGCATTCCAAGCTTTTCCCGGCTGACAACCAGCAAGGAAATGGATCTTGTTTCTGGGTGCACATTCCACCGGAAAAAAAAAGGCGAACGTTAACACTTTGGAAAGCAACGAACACGAGGCCTGAAAGGAGTTGAAACAATGAAACAAAGGCCTTGACAAAGGAACCCGCACTCTTGTCCAATTTGTCAGAGCTCCGTGTTGACTTGAAATACAGCCATTGATGGAATAAATCACAAATGCATCATAATGAACGGGATGAATTGCTAGAATGATAGAAAGACAACAGGAGTCGCCTGATAATCGTAATCATCATCATCATCATCATCATCATCATCATCATCATCATCATCATCATCATCATCATCATCATCATCATCATCATCATCATCATCATCATCATCATCATCATCATCATCATCATCCTGATAGAACAACCATGGTGCTACTAATAGAGCAACCATGGTGCCTAACAATAATCTCTTGCATCAGGGGACTCCAATGGGCTCCGGCACAACCACTCCCATCACTGAGTCATGGGCGACAGATCGACCACATGCGCCACCATGTGGTCCATCCTGCACGCACAGATCGGACGACCCAGACCCCTCGACCCCTCCAGTGGCACAGTGAACAAGGTTTGGGGTCTCAATACCTGACTGGGCCACAAAATAGAAATCGGGAGAGCCAGGCACTCGGCACTTGACGCGATGTGGGGGGCGGGAGTACCAAACCATTACGCTGTTCGATTGCCCGAGTTGGATGTGTCTTTAACTCTCCATCGTGGGAGCGGCTGTCCTTGCTGCCAGAGTTGGAGCGTCCAGTAAAAGAAACAACATAGTGTCAGTCTACAGCTGTTCATCCTTGTACACTATAACAAGCCATGTCATCATCACCCGACGAACTTGCTGCAGCAACAGTGGCGTTGTGACTTACACATGTGTTGGATGGTTCAAAGTAAATTTCTGGGTTCCCTCATTCCCGATGTGCTTCATACTTCTGACAACATCCACTGTACCTCTGCAAGAGTTTTCAGGGCAATCAGGGCACCTTCCGCGTTTCCACGCAGACACCAACATGGGAACCTATGGAAGCCCGCAGAAAAGGCCACAGGAACTACTTCACCAAAAAACAACAAACAAAAAACGGTGACTTCTTGCTTGCTGCGCCTGTCCATCATTTTCTGCTTCCAAGGTCACATCCTCAACTTACCCTCTCATTTCAAAGGAACCCCACCCCACGAGTTTCCAGAATCGGCCGCGCGCTCAGTTCCACTTCCACCGGTTCTTTCTTCCCGCGTCGAGAACCGCCCCACGCGGCGCGGCTGCTTCCGCCGCGGCGGAAGGTCCCCGAGGGCCGTGTAGGCGGCCGCGAAGGCGGGGGCGCTGCGCCGCCCCCGGAGCCCCGCGCGCACGCCGCGGCGGCAGAGGCCCCGGAGCTCCACGTCGGCTCCCGCGCCGAGGCCTCGAAATTGGAGCGGGGCGGGCGGCAAGCGCCGGGCGCCGAGGGGCGAGGGGGGGTGCCCCTGGTAGGCAGGTGCCTCCAAACGGTGCAAGGGGTAGGTGTTCCTCTGACGTGGGCCGAATTGTGATATTGGTGGGCTGAAAAGATCGCGCGCAGAACAACACGCCCCACTTCGGCCAACCCCACGGTATGACACGGGTCTTTCCAACCTTCATTCGTGTGTTGGCTGGGGGTTCTGTCTGCAAGATCCACGCGACGGATCAACATGGACCTTCTGGTTCCATGTTAAAGGCACGGGAGGGCTTTCAGAGAATCCGCCTAAGTCAGGCTTGCGACTAGCCCATGGCACCCCCCGCCCAACTGCCGCCACCGCCGCCTCGCCGCAGGCGCGCGGCGCGCTTGGCCGCGGCCGCCGCCAGCCGCGCGGCCCAAGGCGCGCCCCGCGCGGCGGCGATCTCCAGAGGGCAGCGAAGCAGCAGCCACGCCAGGCGCCGCGCGCAGAGGCGGCAGACGCGCCACACCTGGCCAGCGAATTTCTCGGGGAAGATGGGCGTGGCCTTGTGTTTAACAGGGGCGCGCCCTCAACATGGCTAAGGTTTTTCCTGGTAGGCTTCGTCTTAACAGAACCAAAAAAAGTGTATGTTCAAAAAAAGACACACCCAGATGGGAGTTTCTCAACATGGCTGGTGTCGGATTGATTTCCTAGCCAAAGGGGGTCCATCATTCTCAGAACCACTCATATGGGTGTGTCTTGTTTGGAAAGACCCCCTTTGGGTGGGGCTTTAGAACGAAGGCAAGGGAAACCATTTTGAGTGCACCAATCGTGAGACAAACCCATATCACTTTCAAAAACAGCCCTGGACCACTTGTAGAAACTTGGCCAGACTTATTGTTGACCCCCCTGCAACAAAAAAAATGTGATTTGTTGGTTGAACAGGAAAAGATCTCCGGAGAACCGAAAAGTAAGCTCTCGCTCTTGTAGAAACAGGTAAGTTCTCCCAGATGGCCTTCTGCACAGAACGTGACAGTTTGTTCACCACAAAAAAGAAGACTAAAACAACAACACCTTTTCTTGGATCTCCCTATTTTGAGACCCACCCAGGTAAGTTCTCGATGGTGTTTTGTGACCAGAAGGTGACCCCACAAGAAACACAGGATGGCGACTCTTTTCACCAGAAGGTGACACCCAAAAACACAAAACATCACAAACATTTTGTTCACCACCGAAAAAAAGAAGAAGAAACAACAAACAAACACGGCATTGCCGTCGGCTATGTTTGGCGACCCCACGTTGCGGCGCACGCAGTGCGGGGAGTTGAGCCGGGGATCCAGGATCAGAGGCTGCCTCAGCTGAGGGCTGAGGCCCTTTGTGTCTGCATGTGTTTGTTTCTTTGATTGTTTTTTGGGGGGGGCTTGGTTGCAGGGAAGCCGAAGTCTCAACCAAGGGGGTTGGAACACCAACAAGGGCGCGCCATTTTAGGAGCTGGCCATGATATGTTTGGCTCAAAGCGAAGCCGAAAGCAAGGACACCGACCATTTGGGTTCCAAATCTTGGAGCCTGCAGAACCAAGCCCCAGGTCTCCTTCAAAGCACCCTTGCATCCGTTTGGGAATCAAGAAGTCCCCGTTTGGGTCCTATTTGATTTGTTAAAACAGGGAGCCCTTGAGCCAAGTTGGGGTTCATAGTCCACTTGAAATCCAAAGAGGGTTGGTTTCCTACCTTTGGCACACCGTGAAGGCCGGAAAAGGTGATCCACCGTTTGGCGTCTTCACAATCTTGTTGCCCTAAATGGGAAAACCGAAACTAGCGTTGGGTGAAAGGCGCAATTCTCTGCTGATTTCGTCGTCCCCAAACACTTGACCCACCAGCCCCTTTTGAGTTTCCATGGTTGACGTTGAAGGGGAGCAAAATTTTAAGTTTTAGCAGCTAAGTCCAGCTAAGTGGGGATTTCCCACTAAACCACAATAAGCACAAAATGTAAAATGTTTCCCAACAACAACCATGAGATGGCTGTGTTGTTGAGGGCCCCCTTTTTTGGGTGCTGAAGGGGAAAGGAGAGCCACCAATTTTGAGGGTCCATATCCTATTTTGAGACAAGCCCGAATGGGAAAACCGGGTCAGGTCAAAGGGCAAAGCAACAAAAACTTGCAAGCGAGCTGCAGCTTGAGGCTCAGGAAGTTTAGCAGCCTCGACCGGAAGATGTTCTGCCAGAAGCCGGGGCCCCTTCGCCCTTTCAGAGACAAACCTGACGAATGCCAAAGGCTCCCGCAAAGTCAGCGCGTTGTTTTTTTTTGCGGCAAACGGCTGGCCGGTTTCTCAAAAAAAAAAACAAGACAGGGCCCAAGTTCGCAGAGCCAAAGTTCATGCGCGGCTTTGGTTTGGGTGTGGAAGGCCAAAGGTCAGCCCAGAAGCCCTCCGTCGCCCCTTTCCACGGGGGCCGCAGGTGGCCCACGTTGAGCATGCGCCCCTCCGGCGCCAAGGTGAGCCCGGCCCAGGGCACTTCGACTCCTGGAGTGCAAGGAGCCCTGCTTGCAACGTGGCGTCTTCGGCTATTTGGCGCTGGGTCATGGTGCCCAAAATGGCGCCTTGGCAAATGGAACGAACGACTACCTGCCTAACCCCAGTTGCTTTATTTTGAGCCAATTGGATGTGTTTTGCAAAATCCCTCAACATGGGCGGCTTTCCTTTTTGGACCCGGGTTGTTGGAACCCGTTCAACGGGTCCCCTGAACTATGGCTTAAACAGTCTCCTTTGGGTTTAGAAGGGCACATCCCCTTGTACACACCTTCCAGAACTGGGCTGTCCTCAGATCCCCTGCTTCAACAGCAACTTGTAGTGGGGTAAATACGGAAACCGAACCACTACACCAACGAAAAACAGCTGAAGAAAAAAGTTGAACCGAATGAACCAACGAAAAACAGCTGAGAAAAAAAGTTGAACCGAATGAACCAACTAAAACAGCTGAAAAAAAAAAACAAGTTGAAAACCGGATGGCGGGTTGAACCACCTTCCCGGATGGCTTCCCTTCAACTGTGACCAGACCTCGACTTCGCACGCCACTGCCTGCCAGGCGCCGCCGCTTGGACGGCACAAAGCGAGGCTCGGGTGCCGACTCGAAGCGCCAGGAAAAGTTGGCGGCGCACTTGCTCCTGGGTCAGACTTACTGTGGACCCTCTGCAAAGAAATACTGTAAACCCTACAAAAAATTAGAACTGTTTTATGGTTGCAAGGGAAAATGAAACCAACACGGGCAAAAGATGCAAAAATTGGAAAGTGAGACGCAGTCAATATTCATGATTTATTCTGTTCTCACTTGGTCTATATGCTCCATGTCATCCCTTTTGGAGGTACCTGATGGTATTGACTGTGGCGAAAAAGCGAAAAATCGGTGCAGTGGGTGAAAGTAGATGGCACGAGCTCCCCTAGGTGTTGTCATCCTTGTTACTGGTGGATGTCCGTGGAATCCATCCTACTATCATCTACTTTCATCCTGTAAGCCTTTCTGGCAATGGCTCAAGTTGAGTTCGCCGTTGTAGGGGTTGCTCGCTCGAGCCAGGCTGGAGAAGAATCGACAGCAGTGCTGCGGCGTGTCTTTGCCAATGAAGAGAAAGTCGTCCACCAGCCTAGCTCATCGAAGCTGGGAATTGTCTAATGTTGACCCCGGATTAATAAACCCCTGTTATCAATATGGGGGTGTCCCTGGTTTGTAGTGGGAATCATCACTTTTGGAGGGGCCTCCACCCCCATATTAATAAACAGGGGTTGATTCATCCGGGGTCAACATTGACCCAAAAGGGTGTTGTTGTTTTTTGCGGGGGCCCCAAGCATTGTGATGGTGGGCGGTCTATGGTTTGTTTCTTTCACCCCAAAAAACGGGGGATGGGGGGGGGGAACTGAAAACAACCACAGCTAGCAAGAAGTACTCAACTCAAAGGGGGAAGTAACCCAAGGGCCATAGGCGAGCTTTTTAGAAACATAGATGGCCCTGGTAAATGGAATGAGACCAGCGGAAGCCTTCTCCGGGGACTCAAAGAGCGCCAGTCCTAACTGGAATGCAACGGGGGCTGGAAATGGAACCCACTGCTGGTGATACACCACAAAGGGCTTCCCGAAGACGAAGCCCCCCCCGTTTAAAGAGGAGATTCCCGACAGTAGCACAGAAGTGCGGATAAACCCCCCTTGATCCCACAACCCTGGAATGCAACGGTCCGAACCGGGCCTAACGAGCGCCGTCTGATTCTGCGCAATGCTTTGCAGCACCTGGCAACAAACTTTCGTGCAGCCGGGTATATTTGTCAATACTGTGGATGGACGACGAAATCCATTTCGCACCACCTACGAACCCGGGGATGATTCGATTCCCCTGCAAGTACCAACAAACAATGGTGTCACGTCCACCCACAGTAGGGGATCCCTTGGTGGACATCGGAAATCGTACGGGTAGTTACCTATCAAAATCCATACAACCAATCCTTTCTTGAAACAAGTTCGTCACAGCTCCCGCAGAATGCTCGAACCCTAGGAGGGCAGAAATTCGACGGGTCTCCAAGGACACCAAAGGAAACCACATCGATTTTATATGTGTTGCGGTCATCTTGATCTTTCTTACATCCCATTCGAGGGGCGACAGGTGCGAAGACGGTGGACGCCTCCAGTACCCAGCAAAGGAACCTCGAGAAATTAGAAAACCGAAAGCTTCAGTTTGCTCGGTTCCTTGTTTGTTCCCTGCAATGTAAGCCTCTTTGGTGGGGAATACAAAATCCCAGAGGTCTGTCAGGCTCTCCCTCGCCTCGGCCGGCAAATGCCTGTCCCCACGGCTCATGTGCATGGCGCAGAGAAAGGGTGCAAAGCGGCTGCCCTGCGGGATTCCTCGCACGAAGCGGCGGCCGCCCTTCTCCTGCAGACCATCTCTCCAGCGAGCGAGTCGATGGGAAGAAGAAATGTGGCAATGGCCAAAGGGAACCAAAGGCAAACCAAAAAAGCACAAGGAGACCACAAGGAGACCACAAAGGAGACGACAAGGAGACCACAAGGAGACCAAAGGACGCTCAAGAACGCCCAAAGAAAACAAAAAAGGAAACGAAACCATTCGCCACTTGTCTGCCCCTTAGGCAGGTTGGGTCATCTATGATGAACGGCTCCAAGCCTCTCCCTCAGGCAGACCATCGTCTACCCCTTTTCTTCACCCGCCTCTGGCGTACGCCAAAATACATATGTGCAGATTAATTGCATTTAGACCCTAAAAATGCCAAATGTGTTTGAAGCAATTAGACAACAACCACAAACAACCAAAGGAAACCAAAGGAAACCAAAGGAAACCAAAGGAAACCAAAGGAAACCAAAGGAAACCAAAGGAAACCAAAGGAAACCAAAGGAAACCAAAGGAAACCAAAGGAAACCCAGAACAGAGGTCACTGGACTCCCCTTCAAAAGTTGCAATGTACTGGTGGTGTCCAAACAAGCGGGAGCCGCTTTTGGAGAATCCAACAAAAGGATCGGAAATGGCTCGGACACCCCAAAGCGCAGGTGTCCAAAGCAGGAGAAAAAAAACATTCTTGCTGGTGCGATGAGTCGGGAATTCCAGAAAACCACCAGTTGGGTGGCTTAGCTCAGGCTCATTTTCCATTTCTCATTCCCTGCATCTCTCGCAGCAGCAACTAGGTCCTCCAGTAGAGAGGTTAGAACAAGGGTACCGTTTCTTTTTTCTGTCGTCTATTTTAGTAGGGGAACCCTCCCAACCAAAAAAGTTGGTGAGAAGGGCACCTAGCTGGGGGGACCTAGAATGAAACCATGGTTGAAACCATAACGTTTGTTGGTATTTACTTTGACCGACCGCCTCCTTCGCCTCGCGCCGCGCGCCTGGTTCGGCTGGGTGCCCAACAGCGCGCTGCAGCGCTGCACCGCGGCGCGGAGCGCGGCGCAGACGTCGGCCCGGGCCATCCTCGCTCGAGACATGGCGCGGGAGGCTCGGAGGCTTGGTCGCTTTCTTGGGGGATGGGTTCAAGGAACAAAGAAAAAACAGTAGTTGCAGGGCTTCTAGGTGGGTTTTATTAGCTGAAATGGGTTGTGGTAAACGAGAGAGGAGGACCCCACCATGTTTGGGGGATTCTTTTTGGGGGGGTGGGTTAAAGACAATGAAAAAGAAACACCTGCTATTTTTAGAGGATTTCTTTGTCGGTGGTTAAAGGAACAAAGAACTCCCACCAGTTTTAGGGCCAAAAAAAAACGCCGATTCGCTCTCCGGCCAAAGTCTCTGCTGCCCCTGGCGCGGCAGCAGCACCGCCTGCGCCGTCCGCAGCGCCGCCGGGCGCGCAGCGCCGAAGGCGCGCGGGGCGAGCAGCGCCGGCAGCGCCTGGCCCTCGGGGAGCGCCACGTCCAGGAGCCGCGGCGGCCGACTTCCCGGCGGCCGAAGAGAGACCTACGGTGGATGGACGAAATCCAGAAGTCGCACCACCTAAGAAACCATGGGCAACGATGGTTTGTTGGTATTTCTTTAGGAATCCTGCACTTTGAATCCATGGGAGACCATTGTTTGTTGGTTTTTAGCGCAAATCGAATCATTCCAGGGTTTCTGAACGGTGGTGCAGGAGTTCATCCATCCACGGTAGGGCCACGAGGCGCTGCTACGACCCTCCGCAGAAAGTGGTGGAGGGACCCCTCCCCGGCTACGACCCCTCCCCTGCAACGACCCCTCCATTACTTTTGGTGGGTTCAAGGGAAAACCGACTTGATCTCAACCAAAAAGTTGAAGTCTAAAGATCCAACCCAAGAGCAATCAAGCCGGATCCAAGGAAAGGATCCGTGGCCGAACAAAGAAGCCCTGCGCAATTGAGCGATCTGTCTCCCTTCCATGGTGGACTGTATCTTAAAGGGTGAAAGCAGTGTTCTCCCCTTTGGGGGTGGACATCATGCTCGAGCTGGTGCTCCTTTCACTTACCGGACATGTACAAAAAGAGGCCGCCCTTAGCGGATGTGGTGGACACCACTCCCTGCACAGAAATTAGGAGATGGAGGATTCTTTTCGGAAGTGGTACCATGGTGCTGTGGAAGTCGGGAACTTCGGCATTTTGCGTTGATGACTTTGCGATTTAGGAAGTCAACAAGCGCCAGGTAGCACCATTCCCAAAGATCTCGAGTCGTTGGGTGACTTTGCCGGGGTGCCAGAGATCACCATCGAACAGGGCCAAGCATACGTGTCCTTTTGGAAAAATAGATGGCCCAATGGAAGAAAGCCCATCTAAACCCAGCGCCATCTATTACTAAGCTAAAGGCCTCCTACGACCCCAACTGCCTCCTTGAAAGAGCAAAACGGGAAACTGGATCGATCCCCAAACAACATAGAACCCCAGGAAAACACATTTATCAGGTCAACCAAACCTGAAATCCTCGGGGTTACAAATGTTCTTTACCGGTAAAACTCGCCAATCCAAAAAAGGGAACCACTTTTGCGATTGGGCGGTTGGAGAAAATCAAAACCACGACAGGGTTCTGGAAGACGACTTTCCTTTGGAGCAGCCCCAAAGCGTCCACTATTGCTGGAAAAGGTTTAAGTGGTCGAACATATTCATTCTCAATCAAACTGGCTGAGAACGGTCATGCTCAAGAAAGCTAACTGGTTGATGTATCATTTTAGGTAGCACTCGAAAATCATTTTTCTTCGGGGTTTCTTTTTAGCCAAGCTGAAAAGGGCACCCTCAAGTCAACAAAAAAAACATTACACACCCACGCACGCATTTGGCACGCATTTGGCACGCATTTGGCACGCACTCGATCTGGGCCTGCAGGATCTGGTACCTCGGCAACAGCGGCAGCTGGGAGATGCTCTTCAGCAACTCCCGGTGGGGCAACTTGTCGTAGCAGTTCCGCAGATCCTGAAGCATCGATGGATCCGCGCTGCCGCGAATATGGGTGACAGATGCCGGGGGGGGAGGGGGGGAAAGGGAAGACAACTGTCATTGCTGTTTATTTGTTTATGTATTTACTTTCGTTTCTTTCTTATTTTGGGGTGGTCCCTTGTGTAAAAGAAGATGGAAGTAAGGAACCTAGGCACCCCCCTTCCCCAAGTTGCCGAAATCAACCGCTGGTCCGGGGTGGTTGGTTTACGTGCGATATAGCAGCATCCAGCGTATGTCAAAGACCCCGAAGAAAGCAACACATTGAAATTGTCACCCAAACAAATGTCCAGCCAAAGGGTTCACAATATGTTTTTTCAGACTGAAGGGTAAAAAGGTAATAATGTTAAGATCCATTAGCGCCCAAACAGTTGGAGTGTCAAAATTGGCGGACCCAACAAATTGTGGTTACCTTGTTGATTTCCCTTTAGAACCCACCTGAAAAGGGTACGCAACAAGAAACCCAATATTGAGGTGCAGCTGCACGTCTATACAGTATGGACAAGTCAACTCAAGCTTGAAAGCAACCTCTTTGACAACACTAAACCCTGAGACAAACAAACCATTTCAACATCCGGTCTTTGTTCCCCAAACTATCCTGACATTAAAAGCATCTGTTTTTTCCCCACAGCTCCCACTTTTCTCCTCAAACAGCTCCTGGGCTGAATTCAGATCTTTTTTTAGAAGTCGCTCACTTTTAGTGGTTTAATGTAGACCCCATGTGAATCAACCCCAGTTCATTAAGAGGGGGGGTTGTCCCCGGGTTTAGTGGGGAATCAGCACTGTTGGAGGGAAACACCCCCTATATCCCCCTATTAATAAACTGGGGTTGATTAATATGGGGTCAACCTCAGTAAAACACAAACTAAACTAAACGACCTAAAAAGGCCCGTGGTTCAAAAAATGGTACCCAAAATGGTCCCTTGGCAAATGGAAACAAGGACCAAAACCTTCGTAACCCCGACTCTTTAACTTTGAGCCACACACAAAAGATCTCAAACCCCAAGCGAGTCACAATCAAACCCGGTACAAAAATGGTCGACCCAGAACCATGCTTCAAGAACTAAGAAGGCGGCCGCAGCTATTTATGGCTGGGACTGCCCCTTACTGACCTTCACTTACCCGGGTTTTGATTGTGAAGGTTAGTAAGGGACAGCCCTTCACTAACCCCAGCTCAAGTTGGACCGGGCCGGTTGAACCAGCAACTCATGGGATTCCCCGTCTCAGCCGCGCCAAGCATCCGCCACCCCCACGAAGAGCTCGGCGCCCTCCGCGCCCTGCGCGCCCGCTGGAAACAGCTTGGCCATGGCCTCCACCAGCTGCGGATGCACCTGGTGGAAACACCTCTTTGATTCTAGCCACTTGGGTTCTAACCGGCTAAAAACAGGGTTAACCCCACTTAAAGGCACTTGTAAGTGGATTGGAACCTAGATTGCCAACAACTTACTAACTTTCTATTAGAGGCGTTGACTTTGCTGATTTGACCAACCAAACTTAAAATGGATGGCAGACTGTGTGGTTAGAACAACTAGGCCCTCCACTAGAGAGGTTAAAATTATGAGTACCTAACTTAACTTTTTGCTGTAGTCTATTCTGCTAGACCCTCCCAACCAAAACAGAAACGGTGAGAAAGGGCACCTAGTTGGGGGATCTAGTTATACTCATCTCCCTTCTGGCTTCTGATCTTCTCCCAATCCAACCACTAAAATAGGTTCTAAAATAGGTGGTGAATTCACCTACCCCAAAATGGGATCCCATTGGCTTTGACCCAGGGGGTGACAACTTTCGGGTGAAAATTCCACTTTGGGGGACTGAATGAGTGGGTTCTAACCGAAGGCTAGCCCCGACAACTTACCTTGGCGAATCGAACACATGGCCAAGTAGATTTATACTCCTAGGTCCTCCAGATTCGAGAGGTTCGAAGGGTACCGTTTCTTTTTCCTGCAGTCGATTTTAGTAGGGGAACCGAATCTCCACCCAAAAAAGTTTTAAAGGGCACTACTGGGGGACCTGGGTGAAAACACGTCTGCTGCTTTTTGTTCTTCCCAATGGAAAGAGAAAAGAGAAGAAAGAAAGAATGAAAAAAAAGGAAGAAAACAAAACGGCAAGCCAACGAAAGGATAAAGGCGAAAAATAACGAAAAATAACCCCATAGATTGTTATGTAGAAAACGAGAGGAGGGAAACCCTCCAAGACAGTTATATTCGTCCTGCTTAGATGGCCATGAATTTTAATAGGGAACTCTGTCAACAAAGGAATACCGAAGCCATGTCTGATGTCGCTTCTTGTATGCGCCTACCCAGATCTACCGGTTGGTACAGACTGGGATGCTTGTTCTGTTTAGTCTCAATGGGGGCCCTAAAGAAATGGATAACGCAACAAGAAAAAACAATGAACACAAATACCATTAGAATTGTTTGAGGCTTACCAGGCACAATAGGTCGTCTCTCCCAGATCCACCTGGCATCCTTGAAAAGGTTGCCAGGCAAAGGAGTGGCTGGCTCAAATGGGCTCTAAGAGCTCCCAAACCTCCAGGGGGTTGCCGGTCTTTTTTTTCGGGGTTGGGCCGAACAAGCGCCAAGCACCGCTCCAAGCCCGTTTGGGAGGGTAGTTGACAACCCTTCCACGGCGGCGAGAAGCGCCCTTGGCAAAAACACAACAGTTTAGGTAACAGCCCAAAGAGAGTACCAAGTCCGACCTTAAAATGGCCAACGCAGCGATTCCTTTCCCGCCACCGGAGCCCCATGGGCATCCAAACCGCCCCCGCGCCCCGCGGCCTCGTGCTGGCTGAGCAGGGAATTCCCCAAAACCTCCGGGTGCGTGGCCCTCAGCTGCGCCAGGATGGCCAAGACCTATCCCAATGCGCTCGAGCGGGACTCAACCGGCTGGCACGCTTGGGGTGTCGTTTGTTTATTTGTCTTGCTGATTGCTTGTGTTGTTCGCTTTTGTTTGTCGTTTTTGTTTTGTTCTCGTTTTTTCTTTTTTTTGTCGGAGGGAACCATGAACCCCTTTTTGGGGTGGGTTTTTTTGAAGGAAACTAAAGAAGACACACCCATGGAATCTCCTGGGATCTTAATCTCGGGCAACCCATCATCTGAGTTCCCCGCGACATGGAACTGAGACCATTTTCCTCACGGACCCTCTGGTTGGTTTCCATGTGGGAGAAGGCGAGTCCCATGACTTGGGGAACAATACAAAGGACCCTAGCAGTTGCTGGGGTCACTGGATTTCCTGCGATTTGCTGGTGGTGTCCATTGAAACTTAGGATCCAGTGCGTGCGTTTTTGAGGGTACCCCTTTTCGCCTTGGTTTAAAGGAAAAGCAAAGGAAACAAAACATGGCTTCCCCCGAAACCATCATGTAGAGGGGGGGGTTTGAGGAGGTCGCGCTGATGGACCCAGCGGTGTTGACCTAGATGAATCAACCTCCCCTCCAAAAGTCTGAACCTCCACCAAAAGGGGGGTTCCCCAACTGTGGATGGACGAAATCCTGCACCACCATCACCACCTAAGAAACCGTGGAATGACTCGCATCCCCTCAAATACCGGCAAACCTTATGGTTTCCCTATGAACCACGACCTTTCTATCGTGATGCCCCCGTCAAGTCGAAGGGAACTCCAACTAGGTCCTCCAGTAGAGAGGTTAGAACAAGGCTACCCGCTCTTTTCTTCTGTAGTCTATTATTCGTAGGGGAACCGCACCTCCCCCAACAAAAAGGGGTTTAAAAAAACGGGCACCTAGCTGGACCTAATTAGCCAACTTGGCGCGGGGGGGGACATGAGCCGCAGCACCGGAGCGCGCCTGGCGTTGCTCTCGGGGCGTATGCCCCTGGAAAGCGGCCCACCTGGCCATGTTGACGATGGGGCGCAGGCCTGGAAGATAACCCGCAACGTCTGCAAGCTCACGCGGGCGCCCGGCGGGTTTTCGGGGAAACCCCTAACCCCCCTCCCCCCCCCAAAAAAAAAACTGTCCTTTTGGTTTCCCTTTTCAAGCCACAAAACATGGGTGCCAACTCCACAAAACACAGGCCCACGGCCAAAGCGCCATGCTGTTGGCAACCCGGCCTTTCTTCTTCGGAACCCATCGCACCACCGGAGGTCTCGGTCCTGAGAAATGCGAAAATCCCCGCGCTATGGGTTGCCCTTCCCTGAGCAAACGGCTCGCCTTTTGCCGCTTTCATGGAGCCATTTGATTCCCAAAGGGCGAAGGGCCAAGGTCACACCAAAAGATGGGCCATGGATAAAAAGGCAACCCTGAAATGTCCAAACCAAAGTTTCCACCACCCCCAAAATTCATCTGGATGTGTCTGTTCTTTTTGAAGTTGGTACCCTTTTCGGGGTTCCACTTGATGCAACCCATCTGCATTGCCCAAGTGAAAACCCATCAGTCCCAGCTGCCAGTGGATGCTCCCGTTTGCGGCATCCGCCTGGGCTCGACTTCCACGGGGGGGAACCCTCCAAACTCCCTTGTGGGCTTGAGTGTGTGGGCTTGAGCGTAGGGTTGAGAGTCATGTCGCAACCTTCAACCCGAAATCCTAAACCCTTGACCCTAAACCCTAAACCCTAAACCCTGCCCCAAAACAGGGGTACTCTTTTGGAACCCGTTTCGGAGATGTTCCCCCTGCAAAAAGAGGGCGTCCGAAAAGGGTACCAGCTTGAACGTGTGCGTCTGTGTTTCCTGTTTCCAAAAAGGGGGCCCTGGCTAGTTTCCTGTCGGTTTCCTTCCGCAGCCGGAAGAGGTGCCCGAATTTCGGACCAAAAACCTTAGCCACTCCCATTCCGATGGTTGTGGGAAATTAGTTGTAGCATCCTCTTCACCCATCCTTCTTTTCAAAAATCGCCCATGTCTCCTGGTTGTGGTCTATTTTTTGAACATAAGGATCTGTGAAGAGAATGGGGAGGGTAGGGTCTTTCTGTGATACCCCCGCCTATAGCCCTTTGACTGCTGAATGCCACTTGAAAGGGAAATCCGCGAGGGCGTCACAGAAGTGGTGGCTGAAAAACCGACCATGCGCCCATGTCCTCTTGGGCATCCTCTTCCGAAGGCATTTGTCTTCACCCCTCAGGGCCTTCGCAAGCCCGTCCAAAAGCCGGGGGGGGGGGGCCGCCTTGAAGACGCCGAGAAGGTCGCGGCTGCCGCTTCCTGGGCCGCGTCCATGCAGAGGTGCAGAAACCCGCAATCCGCCCTGGATCGCAGGAAGTGCCACCTGGGTCAACCGGGACACTCGACCTGAAAGAAGTCATCCCAAAAACACACCTGGAAGCAGCATGGAGATCCACTGGAAAGGAAAACTGTCTTCCAGGAACGCTGGCACAGGGTTTTTGGGAGGGTACAACTTGGCGATACCGACTTGCTGAATTCTCATTCACCAATCACTCGGGATCGTGCCACGGCAATCTTGGTGAACTGTGGATGGACGAAATCCTGCACCACCGTTCAGAACCCCTGGAATGATTCGATTTGCGCTAAAAACCAACAAACAATGGTCTCCCATGGATTCCTAAGAAATACCAACACACCATCATTGCCCGTGGTTTCTTAGGTGGTGCGTAATGGATGTGAAGGTGTAGGCCTCACTCTACTCCCTGCACCAGGCAGCTTCTAAAATGGCCAGTGGCTGAATTTTTTTTGGGCGCTGCCTCAGTGTTCGCCCCCAACCAATAACAGGAGTGCTCATTCTGGTCCATAGAAAGGCCAACCTTGCAATTCCAAAATGGTCAAAACACAAAAAGCGAAACTAGATCCCAGTCGACGGGTTTCCAGCCGTCAAAATCTGGGTTTCCTGTGGCCTCAAAAGCATCCAAACCTCCACCGGATGCAGTCCAACCAGAGAAGCCACGAAACGAACACCAAAAGCCATGGGTGTGCGTTCCTCATCCTTGGTTTCCTGGGAACGAAAAGGAAAACCGCCATTGGTGGCTCCCTCTATTTGGGTGTCTTTGTTTGAGGCAACCTCCATTGGTTGAAGGGGAAACCAAAAGCAAAACCACCTCTAAGACAAGACCCACCCATTTCGACCAACTGGGGGGGTGCAAAGCCACACCGGGGCCCTTTTTGGTATCTTGTTCACAACGGGTTTCCCTTGATACCCCGCCCGCCCAACCGGCTGCACCTCCAACAAACGCCTTCCGCCTTCTGTCCCTCCGTGCCCTCCGAGCTTGCGAGCGGCACGTGCTTCCGGAAGTACACCGCCCTGGCGCCGCAGACCTCCGCCTCCGTGACGTAGAAGTGGCCCTTCAGCAGCGGCACCGCCAGGTGGGCGAAGAGGAAGTAGCCTCGGCTCGAGACGACCCGACCCGACCCGCGTTGCTTGGGGCGAGAAGTACTGTGGAGGGTTGAAATCGAAATCCGTAGACCGCACCACGAAATGAGTCGCCATGGTTGAAACCACTGTTGGTTGGTGTTTACAGGGGGATCGAATCATTTCAGGATGTCTTAGGTTCCACAGTAGCGAATGAGAAATGGACAATTTGGTTGAGACCCCTGGGAAAAAAAAGAAAGAAAAAACACAATCGTAGTGGTAGATTCCCTTTAAACCAAAAGGGGGAAAAAAAAGAATAGTCTGAGGCAAATGGAAGGCAGGCAATGAGAAATGGAATGAACCGTTTTTGGATTCCCGAATAAAGGAAAACCATGGGAAATGGAATGGTTTATAGGGGTTGAACCGTTTTGGGATTCCCGAATAAAGGAAAACCATACTGTAGGGGATGGTTGAACCGTTTTGGGATTCCCGAAGAAAGGAAAACCACAGGAAATGGATGGTTTATAAGGGTCATTCCATCTCTCATTCCCTGCCTATCGCACCAGCCAGGTTTTCAGCGAGCGGTTTCCCCGCGTGCGGGGAATAGCGCCTGGGGGAAACTCGGACCAGCTGGGGGAAACTCTGCAGGATTTTGTCTATCCACAGTATCCGCAAGCATCGACCAATCCAGAGAATGGATCCCTTGGGATCCTTCCAACTTGGCCTGCGAGCTTCCCAAGAAAGGGAAATCCCGTTCTTGTCCGTGTGGTTTGTTCGCCTTTTTGTCGGCGACAACGAATCAAGGGGATGGGATCCCTCTATCCCTTCCAAGAACTGTTTTACAGATTTTACAGATTTTCAAAAACAACTGGTCTGGAAAACAAACAAATCCCCTTGTCTCGGCATTTTGTCCACCGTCTCCTCTTTAATATCCAGGAAGCATAACAGGCAAGCCAGCGGAACCCACCGATTTCCAACCAAACCAACCAGACCTGGCCACCTGCAGTGGATGGTTGCGAAATCCATTTCGCACCACCTAAGAAAGACACCAACAAACAATGGTTTCCATGGATTCAAAGTGGTGCAGGAATTCCTCCATCCACAGTGTGACCTGGCCACTTCCCGTGTCGAGGCACAAAGCCGGCCCAGCACCTCCGCCCCCAGCGCCGCATCGCGCAGCGGAGCGCCGGACGCGGCGCCGAGGTGGTGTTGGAAGTCGCGCACCGGAAGGCCCTGCAACAGCCTAAGTCTTTTTTTTGGTTGGACCGGTCACCCAGGTTGCTGGTGGATTGGTTGGATTGGTGGGTTTGGTTGGTTTGGTTGGTTTGGTTGGTTTGGTGAGTTTGGTTGGTTTGGTTGGTTTGGTTGGATTCATTGGTTGGTTTGGTTGGTTTGGTTGGCTTGGTTGGCTTCGTTGGATTGGTTGGTTTGGTTGGTTTGGTGGGTGGGTTGGTGGGTGTCGTTTTGGACAGAGTCTTATCAATACTGGACGAAATCCGTGTCGCAGAAACATGAGCTGTGGATGGACGAAAGCCATAAGCCTCGCCACCGTTCAGAAACCCTGTGCTGATTCTGTCACAGATTCCCATGTAAATACCAACAAACACTCTGGATGAAACTCCTTCAGCTTTCCCAGGGCGCAATGGGTTTGTGACCCCTCTGTTCCGTTTCTTTCCTCTTTTTTTCCGGGGGCATGGGCTTTGTGCGTTGTCCAGACCCTGTTGGGAATCGTCGGTTTAGGGTCGGTTTAGGGTTGGCATTGGAAGGAGCGGCTGTTTCGGGTTGACTCGAGGGGTGGATTTAGGGCCATGTATATTTCGTTATGTATACATAATATATTACTTTGTATATAAAATTATATTCTACGTGTTCTATACAATATAGAATGCATAGACTATAATCTTATTTACTAAGCATTGTAATTCTATTATATATAGAGCATAGTATATTGTATACGAATGTATTAATACACTACATGGCCTTCTCAGCTCAGGCACTGGTGCACGGAGAGCTCCTCACCCCTGCGCAGGTCCACCAGTGCCTGCGGGGCACTTGGCCCCCAACAACTCCTTGGGAGTCGCTCCCCCAACCCCCCTCTCCCCCTCCCCGTGTGGATGGACAAAATCACCCCTACGGGGAGTGACCCTTTGGGTAAGGCAAAACGCCAACCAGGGTGTAGGGTGTAGGGCCGCTCACTTTAGATATCCCCTTGGACATCAAACTAGTGAGCCTAGCAAGCATCTACCCGGTCACCATACATGCGCGCAGGGGAGCAAATAAGCGGTCTCTGTGACACGAAAACTTGGCCATCTCTATGACTACGTCACCTAGGCGGTTGCCGGGCTCCCTTGGTGTCACAGAAAAGTGACCCAACAAAAGCAGCCGCTTCTGTGCTAAGCATGTCCTAGGCCAAAAAAAGCCAGTTCTTCTCTCATTATTGTATTGAACCACTCATTTTCAATTAGTTTTTAGATTCCTTTGCTGTTGCCCGTAGTTTCTGTTTCCCAAAGTTCCAGAATTTTGTGATTTTGGAATTTTGGGAATGTTTGGATTTTTTGTGGATTTTTGGGAATTCTGGGAATTTTAGGAGTTCTGTGTTTTTTGGAATTCTGGGAATTTGGGGATCGTTTGGGATTTTTTCTGGATTGTTTTGGATGTTTGGGATTTTGGGGATTTTGGCAAAAATCACAAAATTCAAAAAGAAAAAAAAGAAAACATCCCAAAGTTCCCAAAATAATCCCAAAATTCCCAAAAGAAAACATCCCAAAATTCAAAAACATCCCAAGAAAACCCCCCCCCAAAAAAAATAATCCCACAATTCCCAAAATTACTTGTTCATTTGTTCGGACCCTCTTCCCCAAACTTTCCCCAACTTTCTCCCCGCCTGCAACTTGGGCGCCAGGCGCCGCCAGGTGCGGCGCCCCAGCAGCTCCTCCGCACCCAGCCTCGCCAGCGCCTCCATAGCGCCAGATGCGGCGCATCGCTTGGGCCGCCGCTGGGGCCGCTTTTTGGGTCAAGGGGAACTCGGTTGCTTTGGTGGTTGTTACGGAGGTTTCCCATTTCTCCTCTACAAGAACCAGAAATCCCCAACCAATCCAAACCTCGGCTGCCTGCGAAAAGTGACTCACATCCTAACATCCAAGCAAAATGCACCAAAAGGGAAACCCGAAAAGGAAGACTGGCTGGGCGCGAGATGGTGCGATATTCGTAGGGGATGACTTTCCGAGGCTGGGTGGGAATGAACGTGTTTGGGGGATTCCCTAAGAAAGAAGCCCTTCCGGAAGAAAGGAATTTTTGGAGGCCAAGAGTGAGTCATGGGAAGCTTGTGGCCGGTGGGAGGCTTGTGGCCATGACGGCCCCTTGCTATGGCCCGTCAGAAAATTTGATTCTGCGACTGACACCACCCGTGCCTTCCCTTGCCGTGCTTCTCAACCTCTCCTGGCCTAATCTCGACCCATACCTATCCGCTTTGCTCCAATTGGTGGAGCCCCGTGGCTTGGTGAAACGGAGGGGCAAACCTCATTTACCCTCCACCAAGGCTTCAAATCCCCAAACCAATCCATTTCGCCAAATCCGGGGGCACGTGAAGACCTGGATGCTCCCAGTGTTTTCCGAACTACGAATGTAGGGAGCCTTCTCCGCCGCCAAAAAAAAAAACATTCTCCGCTCCAAAAAAAAGGTTCTCCGTTCCCTCCCCCCCCTTATTTGGGGTACCCGAAAATATCGGGGCGCCTCCGTCCCAAAAAAAAACGAAAGGCGCCCCTTCGAGTGAACTGCGAATGTAGGGCGCCTTCTTCCCCCCTCCCCCCGGCCAGAAAAAAACAACAACAACCAAAACGATCTCCGCACCAAAACAAAAAACAGAAAAACCCTCCGGGCGCCTGAAAATGCTGGGCGCCTCCGCTCAAAACAAAAAAAGAAAAAACCCTTCGAGCGGCCGCCTCCACCAGGAAGTCCCCCACCTGGCGCCCCGGCACCGCGCAGCGCAGCACCGGGAAGGCGCGGAGGAACCGGAGCTCCGCAGCCCCCCCGGAGCAGCGGACGCTCCTTTCGGCTGGTCTTTGTTTCTTTTTTCTTTCTTTTTTTTTTTGGGGGGGGGGGGGGGGGGAGAACGTGTTTTTTCTCTGTGTCTTTTTTTTGGGGGGGGAGCCCTTAAAGTGGCTAGGGGGCCCCTCAGAGTATCAGGAAAGTGTTTTGTTGATTGCAAAAAATCTGGCTTTGTTTTGCCTCTTTTTTCCCAGATAGCTGAAAGCTATAGGGGTTCTAACTTCTAGTAAAGAAGGGACAGTGATTTGCGAGATTGACGACTGGGTGCTAGGGGGGGCATGCAGTTTGGGGTGCTGGTGCAGGTTCTGTTTTGGGGCGCTGGCGCAGGTACTGTTGGAGCTGGTGTTGGTGGGTGTGGGTGTATTTTTGTGAGATTCACCGTCTGGGTGTTGGTGCAGGTGCTGTGCTGGGGCACTGGGGCAGGTGCTGTTGGAGCTGCTGGTGACGGTGCGCGCAGGAGGGGGGGGGGCAATTTGCGAGAGATTGGCAGCCGGAGTGCTTTGGTGCAGGTGCAGTTTTGGGGCATTGGTGCAGTTTCAAGTTTTGAATTGAGTCGCCTTTGCAGCCTAGGTCAATCTTCGACCTCTGCGCTACCTGGGGTCTATGCTGGTGTAATTTGATGGTCATCCCCTCCTTTAGGCCTGGTCGCAAATAAATATATATATATATATACATATAGATAGATTCACGTATATGTACTTATATATATATATATATATATATGTATATATATATATATGTACTATTTGGGTTGAGACGGATCCCGGAAAAAATGGATCTGGCTATGCAGTTTGGGGTGCTGCAAGGGCTGTTTTGGGGTGCTGGTGAAGGTGCGTTCGCAAGTTTGCGAGATTGACGGCAGGATGCTACGGGCAGGTGCTGTTTCGGAGTGCTGCTTGTGGTGCTGTTTGAGGTGCCGGTGAAATAGAATTTCCTGCAACCCAACCCTTTGAAAATAGGGCAACCCCAACATGGTGGTAAATGGAAACATGGACTAAAAACCTGCGGGCCCCTGATGGTTTCATTTTAACCCGTACCCAAGCTAGGTCCTCCAGTAGAGAGGTCAGAATCAGGGTACCAACTTTTTGCTGTAGTCAAATTTAGTAGGGGAACCCTCCCAACTAGAAAAGGGTGAGAAAGGGCACCTAGCTGGGAAAACCTAGCAAATAGTTCTGGGTGCGGCGCACCTGCCTTTGTTCCGTTTTTTGGATCTGAACGAAGCCACCCGGAAGCTGCCCGGACAATCTTTTGGGGAGTTCCGATTCCTAGCTTGAGACACATATAGGAATCCCTATGGTGTTGGCGTCGTGGTGTCCACTTGAGTGCCAACCAAAAGGGGTTCCGAATCCCATGTTGAACTCAGAAACTGTCTCATAGGATGGTTTGTCTCAAAGGAATCCCAGTGGCTTCGGCTTCCTTTGGGTTTCTTATTTCTAAAAACCACACACAGGGCCGGCCCTCAAAACACACAGACACCCATTTTTTACTGATTCAGAGCCATACTACCCTTTGCCTGGGCCGTCAAAGAAACAAACCTGGGAGTATTCCAATGGCTTTGCCTGAAAATGTGTCATGGGGTGTTGATTCTTGAGGACCCGTATTCTGTCTAGCGCTATTTCATGGAAATCCCAAAGGGGCAGTTCTCTGAAAACGAACCCGAAACCCAGCCGAAGTCAATTCAAATCACCCAACGAAGGTTCCTGGAGCGCGCCCCTTCCCGAGCAGGCGGAGGCGCAGAGTGTGGGCGCTGGCACGTGCAGCGCTTTCCAGAAATGGTTTTAACGCCTTCAAAGGTCTTCAGGATGATGAGGGCGTGTTTGGAAGGGCAGCGCTTGCTCAGAAGCTCCTGCGAGGGGTTGATTACCCCGGCAACCGACCCACCTGTCGTAAGGCCCATAAATCCCAAAGGTAGAACAGGGGTCAGCTACACAAAGCATAACTTCTCGCAGCGATCCTTTTGCGGTTGTCCCGGTCCTGCAATCCAAGGGTCCGTCCTCTTTGGAGCATCACCTGCAAAGGCTCCACCAGGCCTTTGCCGACTTTCCACAGGCGCGAGCTCGCGCTCGTCCTCTGCGCCGGCCGCTTGGGTCCCGCGACGGCCGCTTGGGCGCGAGCGGATTTCCGCTTGCCCCGCTGCCTTTTCTTGGGAAGGTCCACCTTGAGCGGTGGGGACCTCAGGGTGAGATGCCGTGCCACTTGTTTGAACGCGCTATGTTCAAACATCCACCTTTCGGTTCATTTAGACCATTCCTTAAACTACCAAGCTGCCAAACAAGCATTCCCTTCAAACGGGCTTCAAGAAGAAGAAGAAGAAGACAAAAAAACGTTCAAACATGTCTTGACACCCTTTCTCTCCGCATCCCCTCGATTTCGATTTGCGCCAACTAAACAAAAGCCGGGCGCGAAGCATCAGCCGGGCGTGTTCTGCCGCCGGACGCTCCCCGGGCCCCGCTGGCCTGATCTGGTGGAAGTTCGGGTCCAAGATCCAGGCCGCCAGGCGCCGGGCCGCCTCTGCTTCTGGGCCTCCGCGTGTGGAAGGAACCCCAGCCCGACGTCAGAAGTCGGTGGGGGAAGAAATGCTCAACCACTTCAACGTGAATTCACCAACAAAAATAAACATAGCCAATGGAAATAAATACTGGTTGTGAAACAAGAATCCTAGGTGACCTTTTCATTCTCTTCGCGGCCGAAAGCAGCAAAAGGCCTTTGGAGGAAGCCAGCGGGTGTAAACTCCTTGCTTTAGAGGCCCCCACCTCCCCCACCTCCCCCACCCCCCCCACCCCCCCCCACCTCCCCCCACCCCCCCACCTCCCCCCACCTCCCCCCACCTCCCCCCACCTCCCCCCACCTCCCCCCACCTCCCCCCCACCTCCCCCCTCCTCCCCCACCTCCCCCACCTCCCCCCACCCCCCCACCTCCCCCCCCCCTCACCCCCCCCCCCCCCCCCCCTCCCCCCCCTCCCCCCACCTCCCCCCCCCCCAAAAAATGGTAAAAGTAGGGGGCCTGGGGGGTGGTCTGTTGATGGTTGCCTGTTATGGTTTTTATGTTCATCTCAAATCTGTGTTCCCCCTTATTCGTTTTTAATAGAGGGTTTTTGGGGAGCTTGTTTATCGTTTTGTTAGAGGTGGAACATTTGGGTTTTTGTTGCCTTGTTCATTGTTGGGCTGGGGGCCGACATTTTTTTCATTTGAAGGAGGTAGCCCTTTTAGTAGTTATCAAGTTCTGGGGCGTTGGTGGGTCTTCTGGTTTGCCGTCGCTTTGCCATGTTCTCTTCATACTCGACTTCCTCAACTGATGTTCCGCCGGGTTGCCCAGAGAGTGCTTTGTCTGCCCGGTGAGAGAAACGAGCTTTTTGAAAGCCTGACGCTTGAGCATTTCATGAACTCAGATTGAAAGACGACACTTGATGACTTTCCGTTGGTGTTGCTTGCTCAAACAGCGCCTTTGTTCACAATTCGATCTCATTTCTCGCATTGACGATACCCTTTGAGTGATGGCATCTTCCAGCGCATCCGCATTGGAGTTCATGGTTCGGGTCTTCCATGAGAACTTTGAAGAAGTGCCAGAGGTGAAGGTTTCAGTTGAAGCCACCACCACCTTGGAAGATTTCATGAAGTTGCTTCGTGAGAATGCCACGATTGCCGACTTGACCTTTGAGAACCCCCGCTTGGCTGGTGTCTGTGACAATGGTTGGTTGCCTCGCATGAAGGAGGATATGACCGTTGCTGACTACATGGTGGATTACAACGACAGATTCCACCAAGAAGGCTTCCACTTTGCCTTGGTTGAGAAAGACCACCACCATGAGATGCTTGCAGACAATGAGGACGAGGTGGAGAGCATGATTGAGAGTGACAGCGACTTGACCGAGGGTTCCGACAAGCAGGATGAGGATGACAAGAAGACTGACCGAGATGGTAGTGAAAGCGATGATGATGGTGGACACTCCCCTCCGCCTTCGTCTGGTGCGATGCCCTCTTCAGGTGGCTACCCGTTGACTGGTGCCTCTGCTGGTTTCGAGACCTTGGAGGACAAGACGCTGGAGGAGTTGGAAGAGATGGTGGCTTCCATCAAGGTTCAGGGCACACTTCTGGTCAAGCGGTTGAAGGAGGTGAAGGACAAGGTGAAGGAGGTTAGAACAGCGACCAAGGCTGAGCGGGATGCGGCGAAGCGGAAGGAGCAGAACAAGACCAAGACTGAGAATGACGCAAGGGACAGAGCCCAGAACATCACACTGAACATCCGCCCGTCATCGGAGATGATGCCCTTCACGGTGGCGGTCAAGAAGGGCGACCCTGTCAAAATGGTGAAGATGAGGACGATGAGCCACGTTCACCCTGACATGGAGGGCGAGAAGAAGTTGATGAAGAAGGCGAAGTCCTTTGTGTTCACTCACAACAACAAGGCGATGGAGTATGACATCTCCACACACCGCACCACTTGCAGGAAGTATGGCTTGCTGGATGGTGATGTCATCACCCTTGCATCGGTTGGAGTTGGCGGAGCCCCTGTCCGAAAGACAATCTTCAAGCCGAAGGTGATGGGCACTGGCAGCTTCATCACGGACGATGACAAGTCCTTGTTTGAACTCGCCTTCAACATGGGCAAGAGCGTGGCCATCCTGAAGAAGATGGACTTTGACACTTTCCTGAAGGATTGTGGTGAGACTGAGTTGGAGGAGATGAAGAAGTTTTTCGAGAGCGACCGCTCCAAGATGGAGTTGAAATTGTTGAAGTCAGCGGAGTTCTTGAAGTCCTACAAGGACATGAACGCACTGGTGGTCAAGTTGGTCTACTCCATGGATTACCTGAAAGACTTGATGTGCGACAGCATCTTGGACAAGTGCGACAGCAAGTTGTCGAAGTGTAAGGATACTGTCATCCGCTCCATTGACATTGCCCTTGCCTTGAAGCGTGGCAAGGCTGACATGGAGACCTGATATCACAAGAAGAGGCGACATGTTTGTTTGTCTTGTTGCGTTTATCATAATGACGGTTTTGTCATTGGTTTGTCTTATGATGTTTGTATCATAATGACGGTTTTGTCATTGGTTTGTCTTATGATGTTTGTATCATAATGACGGTTTTGTCATTGGTTGGACAGATGATGTTTGTATCATATGATGAAACCATCATTCGGATTTCAAAGGGAAAATGAAAGAGAATGATGTTTTTATCATACCCAGATGATGTTTTTGTCATACCCCTATGATGGTTTTAACATGTGTTTCTGCACTGTTTAAACCTGACCCTGCAGGTGAGCACCACTTGAACCTGCCTTGCGACCAGTATTTGTTGACGGGTTTGGGTCTTGACAGGGTGTAGGTAGATGGTGCTCCGAACGTGTCATCTGGCACCAACATAGAAATCAGACATTTCATTTCTATTTGTTGTGTGTTTCGGTTGACGGTGCAACTCCTTCATTTTGAAGGTGATGATGCGTTCAAGAAACCAACCATCGGCATGGGTCTGATGAGAAAAGGTGCTCTCTCTGTTGCTTTGCAGTTGTGAATGTGTTTGTGTCAATGAGCCACTTGCACTTTCCGAGGGGTCAGAAAGCCCCCCTGCAACTTTCCAAAGGGTTGGAAACACACCCCCAAACCAGCAAATCACCACCTAAATTAGGGTTTCCAAAGGGTCGGAAGGTCTCCCTGTCAAAAGCCCTTTCCCTCTTTCTTACTGGTCGGAAACCCCTGCTCCTTTCCTGTCCCTTTCCTTTGTCTACGCCTCGCATCTGCCACCCTCCTGAGGTTGGGAAGTCATCGTCGTCGTCGCCTTCTTCGCTGTTGTCTTCTAGGTTCTGGAATGGGTGGCCGTTTTTGAACCCCTACCCTAAAACAAACTAACAAATATATCACTAATCAACTCAGTAGGAATTTTGTATAACTCATCTTGTTTATGTTTGATGTATCCCTCACCCCAATCAACCTTTTTACCTGATGGTAACCGCTGAGCAGTTTCAATATGTTTCCCATTCCTAATTTTCCCACAATCCCCTTTGCATAATGGTCTGGGTTTCCATGTTTCAATGTTTGACCACAACCTCGTTCGCTTCCTGTAATTCATTCCATATTTACAATAATCCACATCATAGTATTTCAACCCACTCATAAAGGGTTGTTCCTTCAAAAGTCCAGTTTGAGGATTTTCCACAACCCACCATGTAGGTTTGAAGTAGTCAATGATTTCAAGGGTTTTCAAAACAATACTGTTTGCATAATCTATCTTTCGGACGCCTGTCATCTTCGCTCGGCTGTATTCGGTACATGGAGGAGATGCCCACACAACATCAAACTCGCCCACATCAAACTCATGATAATCCCAACTCAAAATATCAGTATTGATATTTGCATTTTTCAAATCAAGGGAAATAACACTAAAACCCAAATCCCGAGCAACCCTACCAACCGAGCCTGTCCCTGAAAATAATTCTAATAATTTCATATTATTAGAACTATTTAGATAATTATTTTATGGAGTAATTTCGCGAAGCTCATTAGGCTATTACTTTGTAATAGCGTAATGTCGCAAAGCTCATTAGAGCATTTCATCCTGAAATGCTGTAATGTCCATATGGTAATGAAGTGAAAGCATCACTATAAAACCTTTTATTTTCATAATTACTGAGAGATTGCTTGACTTGAGACATTGAATATATTTGATGCGACTTACTTCTGATGAAGTTATATGTGATTTCATGCTTTTTGTTTTGAAATAATGCTTCGTGGTAGTTCTGATATGACAGTTCTTTCTTCACCTTGTGTTTGACTACACCTTTTGATTTCTTATGTTCATCATCCTCACCATGAATTGTGAAGGCATATGATTTAGGTTTTAATCCAATGAATTTAGTAATGATTTTTCCATTCACTTCGTCCTTAAACATTCCTAAGACCTTCTTATTTGTTTTGTCATGACATGGATGCTCAACAGGGTAGTCGCTAAAATCCATGTGTTGCTTTATCTCATTGAAATCCTTATAAACATCATCAGTCATTGTTTGAATTACATAACTGTCAGTATCAGTATATATCAATTTGATGTTTTCATTATACTTCTTTTTCAATACATCATAGTAAAACTTATACATATGTAGTTTGCTTAAATCTAAAATGCTCATTCCTAAGAAAATGGGTTTATCCAGTTTCAGTTTCGCTTTAGTTTTTTCAACTCCTACCAGATTTTCATTTATAATAAATCTATTTTTGAAAGTTGGATTATTAACGCATTTTTCATATCTTACCTCATTATCAACTAATTCAAAGTCCATATGATTTCGCTTGTCTTCCATGGTTTTTCCGTACACCGCGTTATTCATTAATTTGAATAAATCTTTCTCAAAATCGCTTTTGGCTTCTTTCCTTTTACCAGTGTTAAAATCAATCCACGGTTTCAACCATGCCCTTTGCTGAAATTTTATTATCCTATGGACTTTGGTCATTTTCAATCCCATTTTCAAGTAATACTGTAAAGTCTTGATATGAACCACATATTTTTCTTTATCCTTTAGATTTAATATTAACTTACTTGTTTTCTCATCCTTGGGATTTTTACCATCATAATATATTTTGTAGACTTGCTTTTGATAATCGGAAAGCATACTAACATTTACATTCATTATTTCAGGCGCTAGTGGATAGTCAGAGTGGAAGTCGTGCAATGTTTCGGGATATTCCAAATCAACTTCCATAATATAACCAAACTCATCGTTTTCATTCCATGTTTCAACATTGGGAGTTTTCTTTGCCCACTTGAGGTTTTTCAATGGCAACTTCTGGGACATTTTTCAACAATGGGCGTTTTCTTTGCCCACTTGATATTTTTTAGCGGTAACTTCTGGGACATTGCCAAACCATACAAGTTATTAGCATCCAAGTAACTAATATAATTTGATGGCTTGTTCTCATCATATGCTTCCCCCATATACTTATTATTTGCCACTGC